TAGAAGCCTTTCCTCACATGAATGAAGTCCTATGTTCAATACCTATTATGAATATAAATAACTATAAATAGGTAAAATTTGGTATATATTACAACAGAAATAAAACTTAAACAAAAAATGTAGATCTTACAAGCTGGCTCTGTGGGTTTATTACTGGCCATGTAAAGTCAAGAATGTAATTTGGATTTCCAATCCACATAGAGTGCAAAGTGGACCTTGCTAGAATCCCAAGGCTTGGAAGGCAAAAACATCGCTGGAACAAGCTGGATAGCTAGACTAATTGAATTGGTGAGCTCTTGGTTCAGTATATAAAATAGAGAGTAGTTAGGGAAGACACACAGCATAAGCCTCTAGTTTCCACACTACCTACCTGATTACAAACAGCACAGCACAGTGTAGGTGTACAAGCTTTGAATATGGCATGCACAAAGGCCATTGGCTCAATCCTTAGAACATATCTGCCTGCTTTCCCCAAGACCCAATGAAAAATAACATATAAATATCATACAATTCCATTTACTTGAAATCCTTATGAATTGATAAATTATGTTGACAGAAAATAGACTAATAAAACTGGAAATGAGAACAAGGACTGACTTATTGCAAATGGGAGATAGCAAATAAGATTTTTCTGAAGGGATGGAAATATTTGTTAAAATGTGTTGTAAGCATTTCATTCAAAACAGGTGAATTTTGTTTGTGTAATATGTATATCTTAAAGTTTTAAAAAATACTCAATTTAGTCTCCAACAGTACTTTTTGTTTGCTCTATTTTTTTTTCATGCTGTTTATACAATATCTTACCTACTAGTCCTTAAAACTTAAGGTAAATGGTCATTCTAAAAATGACCCACCTTGGCCCTAAACAAACATGTTGCCTTTCTTTTGCTTTCCTTGAGATAAGTGTTACTGTGTAGCTCTAGATATCCCAGAATTGAAAATATATAAATATTGTTTTTGTGATTTTCTTCTGTACATAACTTACTTCATTCATTTTGAAGCTTCATTAGTATTAGGAAGGAGACATGCAATTTTGTTCTTGGGTATATAATTCTTTATGTTTTCAACTCTTAAGTAACTACTTCCTACTTTGCAAAATCTTTCCCAAATGCTCCAGTGCCTATTGTGGAAACTAATGCCTGGGAGCAAAGTCTAAGGACTTGGTAGCTGGTGTTGTTACCTTAACTTTTCACTTGTTAATTGTTTGTAAATTCAGGGTATACTTATTTTAGTTATGCTTTGTAGTATTGTGAACAATTTTTTATAATTCTTTGTATTGTATGGAAGCAAATCTAGGTTTTCTTTTGTGTCTTTTTTGACATGAGAAAATTGCTTTAAAAATTATTTTTTCAATCATTTGATCCTAGGTCTATTGCAAAAGAACTTGCTGACTGGCTTATTAGCAACAATGTAGTGGAACATATATTTGGACCAAATTTACATATTGAGGTTTGTAGACAGTTATATTGGTTATCTATTATATAAAGGCATTTTAAATAAAAATAACTACACCAAGTTTTCCTTTTTTAGATTATTAAGCAGTGCCAAGTGATTTTGAATTTCTTGGCAGCAGAAGGACGACTGAGTACTCAGCATATTGACTGCATTTGGGCTGCAGCACAGGTGATACTAATGCTTCATATTTATTTAATGCTTTTTTTAATGTTCTAAATGCTACTTGGTTGTATTGCATGATGTTTCTGATGTGATCTTGGATTCGGCTTGACACTGTTTTATTGAATATTTTTGCTTGAATGTTCATGAGGAAACTTGGTAGTGGCAGATTTTGGAGAAGTGTTGTGCTCCTTACCTTCTTTGAACATGCTCTGTTTCTGTGTTTCAAGTAGATTTGGAGTTTATTATTTCGGTTAATATAAATTCTAAGCCTAGGTTTAAGAGAAAGAAAAGTGGTAATTAGAAAGTAAGATATACTCGAGAACCATGAGTATGGAATTCTCAAAGGTGAGTTGCCTCCTTAGACAGTAGCAATTTTTTTTTGTTGTTGTTGTTGTTTTGTTTTTTTTTTTTTCGAGACGGGGTTTCTCTGTGGTTTTGGAGCCTGTCCTGGAACTAGCTCTTGTAGACCAGGCTGGTCTTGAACTCACAGAGATCCGCCTGCCTCTGCCTCCCAAGTGCTAGGATTAAAGGTGTGCGCCACCACCGCCTGGCGACAGTAGCAATTTTTATGTGTGTGGATGTTTTACCTGTATGTATGTATGTATGTATGTATGTATGTATGTATGTATGTATGTATGTATGTGTACCACTTGCATGCCTAGTACCTGCAGTGGCCAGATGGAAAGAGTCTGATTCCATGGAACAGGATTTAAAGAAGGTTCTGAGCCACCATGTGGCTACTTGAATCCAAACCCAGGTTCTCTGAAGAGCAGCCAGTGATCTTAACCACTGAGCCATTTCTCAGCCATTACTTTTTAATACTTTTGACTTCTTTTGTATGGAGGTTACTAATGTGTGCTAATCAATTTCGGGGGTAGGGCAGGAGCCTTGGTTTTTCAATTATATGCTTTGGGGACAAGTTATTTGGGATTCAGTCATTATTTGATTTTCTTTTAATTCTGTCACACATTCGAGTATATACATGTTTTTCTTTCTGTAGTTATGCACAAGTATGTGCATTTGAAGGCCTTAGGTCCACATTAGGTATATTCCTTACTCATGCTCTACCTGTGGCTTTTCTTTTGTTTTGTTTTTGTATTTTTTAGATGCATGTTTTCTCGTTTAACCTGGAGGTCACTTAGTCAGCTAGACTAGCTTGACCAGTAATCCCTGGAATTCTTCTGTCTTTTTATGTGTTATAGGATTACAGGTGCACGACCAAGCCAAGTTTTTTACATGAATGCTCAGTATGTGAATCATGGTCTCATGTGTTTGTGTGCTTTATTGACTGGGTTTGGCAAGGGTTGCAAGTGCTCTTAACCCACTGAGACATCTCTCCAGCCTTCCTGATATTTCTTACAGCTCATCCCTAGGTTTAACCCCTGTGGTGCATATTTCCATTTCAACTATTGGACTTTTCAGCTTTAGGTGTTTTTTTTTTAACTTTGTTTTTTAAATTTTTCTATTCATGATCTTTTGTTTGGTCATTCTTTTCTTGAAGAATTTCTTTTAACCCTTTTAGATAATGTGGAAGTCAGAGAACAAATTGCACAAATCAGTTCTTTCCTTAAGCCATCCATATAGGTATAAGGTATAGGGAATGAACTCAGGTATATTTAGCTGCTGATCCATCTTGCTGGTCTTCTATGTCATGTACTCTTATTTGTCTTAAAGTGTTATTTTTGTCCCCATATCTCTGTTTCTGTCTGTCTGTCTCTCTTTGTGTGTATGTGTGTGAGTGAGATGAGAGACAAACAGGCTCTTTTTATTGCTGTGTAGATCAGGCTGGCCTCAGAATGACAGATTCACCTCCCTTTGGTTTTCAAAGTGTTGGGTTTAAGGATGTGTACTACCCTTGGGCCTTTGAAAGGTTTTTGTAATGTACAGGGTTGAAAATCCTTTTCCTGTTTGTCTGAAGATGGTAATCCTTCTGAAACATTTGTTATCTTTTCCTCTTTCTTTTCTTTTTCTTTCTTCTTCCCCCCTCTTTTTTCTTTTCCTTGTGAGGCAGTATTTCCTGTAGCCTAAGTTGACCTTAAACGCAGCAATCGCCACGACTCACCTTACTCTTCTGTCTCAGTGCTATGTTATTGTCTTGTTTCCTAATGTCCTGCTACTCTCTTCATTGTAAGGGGATCTATCTACCTTCTGTTTCTTTGTTGTCGCGGAATACTAGAGCCTGGTCCATCAGGCAGTCCCTTCCTCCCTCCCTCCTTCCTTTTTTCTCTTCTCTATTTTTCCTTTCTTTTGTCTTCCCTTACAGGATTTCTGTCTTTTTATGTGTTAAAGGATTACATGCTTCATCACCACCCGGCTATTCTTGGTTTTAATTGCCTACAGTATAGTCATTTTTTTTTAAAAGATTGGTTTATTATGTATACAGTGTTCTGTCTTCAGGCATGTCTGCATGTCGGAAGATCTCATTATAGATGGTTGTGAACCACCAAGTGTTTGCTGGGAATTGAACTCATGACCTCTGTGAGAGCAGCCAGTGCTCTTATGCCTGAGCCATCTTTCCACCCATATAGCCATTATTTTTAGCATTGGTGATCATACCAAGGTTTCACACTCTTAATACTTCATCACTGATCTATTTCCCCAAGCTCGTTAAATTTTTTTTATATTAATGATATTGGAATTCTTTTTACTAGAATTCTGAAAGCTTTTATTTGCTTCCCTTTTCTGACTAGAAATTAGCTTGTAGTTTGTTTGGCTAAGATAAATCAGTTAAATTTTGTTTTCAATTTTTAAAAATAGTGCCATTTACACTATAAATCAGTATTTTACCAGTATATAAAGTTTTTGTCGATTTTACAACCTAGTTTTTTCTAATTTTTTTTAAAATAACAAGAAAAGCATCATTTATTATATTCCAACGCTTAAATGCAATAGAGGATTATAGAGGAGTCAAGCTGGACTGGGAATACAGCACAGTGGTACAACCTAGCCTTTTCATATCAATAAATTTCCTTGGGGAAACTTGTTAAACTTTTGTTTCTTATTTTATAGCTCAAACACTGTAGTCGATATATTCATGACTTATTCCCTTCACTCATCAAGAATCTGGATCCTGTGCCACTTAGACATTTACTTAATCTGGTCTCAGCTCTTGAGCCAAGTGTTCATACTGAACAGGTAATACATTGAGAATAAATTCATATGTTTTGTTTCTTGCATGTTAGAATTTTGCATAATTGTTCAAATAGCTTAAGTTATATTTTATGTACTATTTAAATTCATTTAGAATTTTAAAATTTCTTATATGTCTGCCCTGCCCCAGAGGCTCTAACATTAATCTTTCTCTTTTAGACACTGTACTTGGCATCCATGTTAATTAAAGCTTTGTGGAATAATGCACTTGCCGCTAAGGCCCAACTATCTAAACAGAGTTCTTTTGCATCTTTATTAAACACTAATATGCCCATTGGAAATAAAAAAGGTTAGTCAAATATATTGTTGTTTGAAATAACTTGTATTGGATTTTGAGTTTATTAATAAGGTGTCAATTATTTTCTGGTAGTGCAGTTTGAACACTCCTAATCTGAAAATTCGTATCACTCCAAATCCAACATCTTTGTTGAATAAAGACTTACACAGAAAGTCCTGCATCCTTTCTAACTATCGTCATAAGTGCACTGCCGATAATATGTAAAGTTATTCTTAGCCTGGAATGGAAGTTTTATATAAGAAGTGCACAAATTGAGGGGCTGGAGAGATGATTCAATAGTTAAAGATTACTGACTGCTTTCCCAAATGTCCTGAACTCAATTCCCAGCAACCATTTTTAATGGGCTCTATTGCTGTCTTTTGTCATGCAAGCATACTTGCAAGGAGAGCACTCATATATATAAAAAACATAAGTAAATCGTTAAAGAATTGTATGAATTAAAAATAAATTTTGTGTTTAAACTTCTAAAATCTTAGAGTAAACACAGTCTGAGACACATTAAAATCCTATGCATTTTTACATAAGATATTTAAGAGGTAGTCAGAAGTTTGCCTTCATTTTAAGTGAGATTTGGGGCAGGATTTGTATTTGGAATGGGAAGTAGGCTTTGTATGAAATGATTAAAGATTAGAACGTAATAATGGTTCTTTTTAACTTTGCATATCAGTTTTTCTAACTTTTTTGTTGCATGTTTGAATAATTTTGAAGGAATTTTTAAAACTTTATGCACTTAAACCCAGTTTTCTTTCGACATCATACTGTCTTTCTGTGCAGATACCCACAATAATTGACAGGTTTCCCTATCAGTATCTTACATACATAGACAGTGTCTGTATTGTCTCAGAGAAGGTCAGTCACTTAGAATGTTTTCCTCCTGTTTTTTTCCTTTTCCTTCAGAGGAAGAAGAGCTGAGAAGAGCAGCTCCTTCACCTTGTAAGTCGAGCCTTAGAAATGCATGACAGTGTGACTTGGAGTTTTTGTGATCTTTGAGCTTGTAGATCTTGTGTAGTGTATATATTTATGCAGTGTATGCTCGAGTCACAATTTTATTTGAGAAAAAGATATATTAAAATACTCATCTTGCCTTTTTGTTTTGTTTTGTTTTCAACTCTTGTAGTCTTAAACCTGCTAGACAGCAAATGACTGCACCACTGAGCTATAGCCCCACACCTCATCTTACCAGTTTTGCTTAAAATCATTAGTATCTAGATTTTAATTGAGATTATTTTTATCCTTTTTAGAAACAACAAATTTAGAGCTGTAGTTTGGTTTCTTAGCATAAACTTTGATAAGTAACTCAAGGAATCAAAGTGTGGTGTCCTATCAGATGCATGTTAATTTAAATCAGAAATAAGAATTTAAAAATCGATTTTAGGGTCTCCTGCAGCAAGTCCTCAAAGTAGTGACAACAGTGATACACATCAGAGTGGAGCCAGTGACATTGAAATGGATGAGCAGCTTATTAATAGAACCAAGCATGTGCAGCAACGACTTTCTGACACCGAGGTAAGTGAAACGGAGGTCTCTTGTCATAGGATTTAGAAAATCTGTTTTAATTTGACCTGGGGATAATACCACTCTTCAATTTCTTTATGTAGGACTTTGGACATCCTTAGAGTTTTATATTTATTTCGTAGTTTTCAAAGATAATAATGCAGTACTATTGCCAACATTTTCAAAAAATTTGTGTTGAGGCCAGCCTGGTCTACAGAGTGAGTTCCATTTTCAGGACAGTCTGCACAGAGAAACCCTGTCTTAAAAACCAACCAAACAAACAAACAAAACACAAAACTTGTTGTGGTACTCAAAAGATGGCTCAGATGTAAAGGCACTTGCCATCAAGTCTGACAAACCAAGGACCCGTAGATCCCCACAAGAAGAGAAGCAGCTCCTGAAAAGCTGTCCTTGACTTTCACGTGTACTCCACATGTCATAGCACATGTTCATAGAGACACTGGAAATAAATAAATTAGTAATTTTTTAAAAATATTAACGCATATTATCTACATGCTAGTTTCTCTCTCAATGTTCTGAATTTTTAAATATATTTGTTTATAAATACAGGAATCCATGCAAGGAAGTTCTGACGAAACTGCTAACAGTGGTGAAGATGGAAGCAGTGGCCCTGGTAGCAGTAGTGGACATAGTGATGGATCTAGTAATGGAGTCAACTCAAGCCATGCGAGCCAGTCAGCTGGTAGTCCGGGAAGTGAGGTGCAATCAGAAGACATTGCAGACATTGAAGCCCTTAAAGAAGAAGAGGAAGATGATGATCATGGTCACAATCCTCCCAAAAACAGTTGTGGTACAGAACTTCGAAACAGAAAGTTAGAAAGTCAAGCAGCCATTTGCTTGGGGGAATCCCAAGGCACATCTGAAAGAAATGGGACAAGCAGTGGAACAGGAAAGGACCTGGTTTTTAATACTGAGTCATTGCCACCTGTAGATAATCGAATACGAATGCTAGATGCCTGTGCTCACTCTGAAGACCCAGAACATGACATTTCAGCGGAAATGAGTTCTGCACACATAGCACAAGGTTCTCAGGAGTCTTGTATCACACGAAGCGGGGACTTCCTTGGGGAGACTATTGGGAATGAATTGTTTAATTGTCGGCAGTTTATTGGTCCACAGCACCATCACCACCACCACCATCACCACCACCATCACCACCACCACCACCACCACCACCATCATGATGGGTAAGAATGCTTAAAAATAAATGCTGTATTAGTGTTTCTTATAGTGAAATACTGCTATTACTTTTTCAGTTGGTATTTAGTTGAGTACTATTTAATTCTCAAATAGATAACGATAAATTTTTTGTTGTCAATTTAAGAAAATGCAAAATGTAAGGTAATGTGATTGCTGCTAGTGTACCTCAAGGCCCCGGGTTCAATCAGGACTGAAAAAAGTAAGGTTCACTTTAATTACATATTTTATTTAAGCAAGTAATACTTAAAGATCATAACCACATTAACTGATATAAAACCTGAAATACTTTTCCTTTTCTATTTAAGTATTCAATAAATATTACGTGTATTTTTGCCATTGCAGAGCTGACAATTAAACCCAGCACTTTGCAAATGCCATGCAAGCATCTGCTACTAAGCTATATCCTTGACTCCCCTCAGTTTATATTGCTAAAGTCACAATACATCTCTGTAATGGCCACGGTGGACATAGCAAATGCTGTACTAGGCAGCATAAATTTGGATCTTCAACTCTTTTGTTTTAGCTGTTGCCTAAAAGCACATGTAGGATTGCTTGTAGCAACTTGAGTTAAATGTTGATTAAAAACACGGCCTTCTAATTTTAGGATTACTATTGTAAGGATATCTGTGGTAAAAGATTTTTGTGTTTGTAAAGTATATCTATTTAATAATAACTGCTTCTGTTACTTATAGAAATAAGAAATAAGTAGGACTAAGTTTTTAATTTGTCTCTTTTTTTCTTTTTCTATCTTTTTTTTTTTTTTTTTTTTTTTGAGATCTGGTCTCACTGTCTTCAGACTCACAGAGATCTGCCTGCATCTGCTTGGAATTCCAGGCTTGTGTCAGAACTATGCCTGTAAACCTCCTTTTTAAAAAATGAAAACCAAAACAATCATGGCCAACATTCCTGAAAACCCTCTTTTTCGTTAAAAAGCAAAACAAAAATAAACTATCAGGGGTTTATTGTGAGAATTTCATGGGCTACCTTGATTACTACAAATGTGTAACTAATTTTTAACCTGTTATTTATTGTCAGTATAACTCGTTAAAATTTGGGTTTGTGGTGAAACAAATGTTCGGTTTATCGGGATGAATTTTCTATGAAAGACTTGCTGTTTTGCTAAATTTTCCAAAATTTAGTTTAGTTACATGAACTAGCTATAAATGTATTCATTTTAATGTTACTTCCTTTTTATTCTTATCATAAGGGCATTCAAGTTTTAAGGGATTGTTTGTTTTATCTTTATAATGATTTATTTTTATTTTATGTGCATTGGTGTTTTGCCTGCATGTCACATCCCCTGGAACTGGAGTTACAGACAGTTGTGGACTACCATGAACCTGTGTCCTTTGAAAAACAGGCAGTGCTCTTAACTGCTGAGCATCTTTCCAGCTCATGGCAGTGTTTCTTACTCTTGACACTATTGATGTTTTGAACCATGTGATTTTTTGGTTTTGAATTCTTAACTGTCTGAATACTTCCTTGATATTGTTCATGGTTGCAACATCCTCAGCCCCTATCTGTAGATGCCAGTATCCCTTCATTTGTAACAATAACAAAAATAAAAGATGTAGTTAGACATTGTTAAATATCACCAGTTTAGCCAAATCATTTCTAATTAGAACATTTGGATAATACCTCACATTATAGATGGTCCCTAGCAACACTCATGATAATGACAAAGTGGTAGCATGTGGATAAAACGAAGGTGCAGAGTTTTAGTTTTAGAGACTGGATGTCTTTTATAGTACTGATCCACTCTCATAATAAACACTCAAAATTAGTAGACCTTAAATGTCTACCCCAAAAGTTTTAATAATTGAAATTTTCCTTATGGCTTTTCCATATTCTGTGTGTGTATATATATAGTGAGTCTTTGTATCAGTCCTGGTCTTTTTTTTTAATTTCATCATCATTTTGTCTTTGCTATCTTGAAATATACCCAGTGTGGTAATATTTAGAAATGAACTTAAGCAGTTCATTTTTGAGTTGAAGGAAATATATTTGGAGACTCGAAGTTTTTTTGGTGGTGCTGAGGATTAAACGCAGGGCATTGTTCATGTTAAGTTTGTGGTATACTGTTGATCCATACTTTGGGTCTTGTTCAGTTAACAACAACTTCCTAGATTGCTACCTTACATTGGAATCTTTTGTATTCTCTACGATATCATTTGATAATGTACTTACACGAACAAATGTAAAGAAAACTTATGGTTTCACATTTTATGAAATTGAGTTTATGTAATAGTACATAACATTCATTATTAATATTACCTAAAATGTTTCTTTTTGAAATTGCAGTGAGGTATATTAATATTCATATATTATTGAATATAATTCTTATATGTTATAAAATTAACTTCCATATATTAGAGTCTTTATAGTATTCATAAATGTCTCAATATTATATATTGTTAAAATGTTTCAACCCAATTTCAACTAAACACCACATCGTTTAGTTTCTGAGTATGGAATAATTTGTACTAAATGTTACCGAAGAGATTTTTAAAAAGAAAAGCTTAAAGCAAAGCATAGTGTCTTTAATCCCATAGTACCTTTAATCCCAGTACTCAAGCTGAGGCACGTGGATCTCTGTGAGTTTGAGATCAACCTGATCTACACAGTGAGGTCCAGGACAGCCAGAGCTACATAGTGAGACCCGGGTTTTGAAAAAAATAAACAAACAAAAAAAGGTTTCCAATTAAGTTCATAGTTTCAAGGGCTAGGATACAGCTCAATAGTAGAATGCTTGCATAGCCTGCAATGGGACCTGGGTTTAATCACTAGCAACAAATAAATAGATGAGTAAAAGTTGGTACTTACTAAGTTTATGGTTTTCTGTGTGTTGTAGACATATGGTTGATGATATGCTAAGTGCAGATGATGTCAGTTGCAGTAGCTCGCAGGTCAGTGCAAAGTCAGAAAAAAATATGGCTGATTTTGATGGTGAAGAATCTGGATGTGAAGAGGAACTAGTTCAGATCAATTCACATGCAGAACTAACATCTCATCTTCAACAACATCTTCCCAATTTAGCATCTATTTACCACGAACATCTTAGTCAAGGTAAGATTTTAAGTCAGTATTACCTTGTTCAAACCAGGACTAATTTAATTGCATGGTTAAAAAGAATAAACTGTTGATATTATGTTTAAATGGTTGTGCCAAAATAATTTAAGCAATAGCTTTTTTTTTTTTTTGTCAAGACAATTATTATGAACACTCCATGAGAATAAATGAGGCCTTTTTGTTTGTCTGAGGTACTGGGGTCTTGGAAGCAAGGGATTTTTGCATTGTCAGCAAGTATTGTGCTATTGAGTATTTTTTCATAAAATGATGGTCACCTAGCAAATACAATGCATATTAATGATCTGTAAGACATTTTGAAAAATGTGATTATGATAGGTTTGAATTTTAGAAATTTATGTCCTGCAGATAAAAAGAATGCAAAAGATCATATAGCATATAATTCCATTTATGTGAAGTGTGTAGAGTGATTAGATTTATAGAGACAGAGGTACAGATTGCTTGGAGTTAGGGAGGGCAAAGTTTTTCTTTATTTTGGTAATGAAAATGTTTGAGAAATGGTTAGTTACATCACTTTCAGTTGAATATAAGAAGGTAATAGAAACAGACCAGTTTTAAAGGAATCGAGACTGAAGTTAAAGAATAATAGAGCCATGCCTGTAGTCCAAGTATTCAAGTAGGGAATACCAAACTTGAGGCCAGCCTGTACTATATAGAAAGCAAGCCTCTATTTCAAAACATTAACATAACAATAGATGGTGATGATGATGATGATGAAGTAGGAAATAAGGAGGAAAGAGAAAGAAAAGAAAAAGGGGAAGTAATATTTAGAATTGTCAATTTAAAGACATTTAACCCTTTTCTTGATTATAAACCATCAGCACATACCAGGTTAGGTTTTGGAATGATAGAGTGTTATAATAGAAAAAACCTGGTAGATTGGGTTTTTGGTAAAAGATCACTGTCAGGGGGCTGGAGAGATGGCTCAGTGGTTAAGAGCATTGTCTGCTCTTCCAAAGGTCCTGAGTTCAATTCCCAGCAACCACATGGTGGCTCACAACCATCTGTAAAGAGGTCTGGCGCCCTCTTCTGGCCTTCAGGCATACACACAGACAGAATATTGTATACATAATAAATAAATAAAAAAAAAGATCACTGTCAGACTAGAGAAACAGTATTACTGTGAGTGTGTTCTTTCAAGGTAGTTTGAGGCCACCAAAATTAATTTGATGCCATGTTAATCAAGTTGTTACCATTCTTTTTTTCCCCAATTTTTAAAAATATTTATTTATTATGTATACAATATTCTGTCTGTGTGTATGCCCGCACTCCAGAAGAGGGCACGAAACCTCATTACAGATGGTTGTGAGCCACCATGTGGTTGCTGGGAATTGAACTCAGAACCTCTGGAAGAGCAGGCAATGCCATTAACCTCTGAGCCATCTCTCCAGCCCAAGTTGTTACCATTCTTTTGTCTTGTATTTTCCTTTTAATTTCTAGTTTTTACACTTTTACTTTATGAAGGTAGAAATTAAACCAAATTGTTGTATAATAATGCTCCAAACTCATATTAATAAAAATATTAATATTCTAATGAATCCCTTCAACTCCATTGAGATAAACAGTTAAATTTGCGTATGGAAGCCAGGTGTCATGTATGCTTATATTCTCACGTTATCAGAAGGTTTATACAGAAGGATTTCCGTAACAGAATAATCTGAGATTAATTTGGGCAGTATACTAAAACACTTTTTTTAAAACAACAACAGAAAACTTGGACAAAATTTATGAACAGTTTCTTTATAAAAGAAGAAATGATAATAGTATATTTTACATGTGTTAGTACTATACATGCATCAGAATGGGTAAATTTGAAGAGTGATATTAAAGAATGTACAGTGATGGGACCTGAGAGATAGCTCAGTTAAGAGCACTGACTGCCTTCCAGAGGACCTAGATTCAATTCCCAGCACCCAGAGGGTGTTCACAAATGTCTGATACTCTAGTTCCAAGGGATCTGATACTCTATCGCATGCATACACACAGACAAAACACTGATACACATAAAATAAAAATATCTTTAAAAAATGTGCAACAGTTGAAAGTTTATGAAGAGTATAGAATAATGACTGCTTTGGAGAATTGTTGTTTAGGAAATCTGATTTGTTATATTAGAATCTTTTGATTAAATTGTCTATTTGAAGTAAATCATCCAATACATTTGTTTTATTTTTTGAGACCGGGTTTCTCCAGCTTTGGAGCCTACGCTGGAACTCACTCTGTAGACCAGGCTGGCCTTGAACTCACAGATTCTGCCAAGTGCTGGGATTAAAGGCTTGAGCTACCATTGCCCATCCCAACACATTTTTTAAAAACGGATTTTTATTTATTTTTATGTATACTGATGTTTTTCCTGCAAGTATGTCTGTGCACAATGTGTATGCAGTGCCAGTGCAGACCCTCAGGAACTGGAGTTACAAAACAGTTGTAAACGACCGTGAGGGTGCTGATAATCACACCTGAGTCCTCTGGAAGGGCAGCTGGTGCTCTACACTCTTGTTCCCTTTTTGTCCAGGATCTTTTTGGGGGATGGGGTTAGCAGGGTCTCACCAGGTAACATCACAGAGATCCCACCTGCTTATGTTTCTGAGTGCTAGAGTTAAAGGTATATAGTATGCCACTATGCTCAACCTTTTCCTCTTTTTTAAAGAAAGAAAAACAAAACAAACAAAAAACCAAGTGTTCTTGTGGTAAGATGAGTGTCTTTTGGGTATATGCCCAAGAGTGGTATAGCTGGTCTTGAAGTAGATCGATTTCCAATTTTCTGAGGAACTGCTATATTGATTTCCAAAGTACAAGTTTGCACTCCCACCAGAATTGAAGGAGTATTCCCTTTGCTCTGTGTCCTTGCCTGCTGGAGCTGTCACTTGTGGTTTTGGTCTTAGCCATTCTGACAGGTGTAAGAGTCATTTTTATTTGAATTTCCCTGATGACTAAGTATGTTGAGCATTTCTTTTAAGTGTTTCTCAGCCATTTGAGATTCTTCTGTTGAGAATTCTATTTAGATCTGTCCCCGTTTTTTAATCGTGTTATTTGTGTTATTGATATTTGATTTTTTTTGAGTTCTACATATATTTTGGAAATTAACCCTCTGTCAGACATGGGTGTGACGAAGTTATTTTCTCGTTCTCTATGCTCCTTTTTGTACTTTTGAGAACTTTTCAGTTTAATGAAGTCCTGTTTTAGTGCCTTCATGTTCTGTTCAGGAAGTGGTCTCCCATGCCAATGCACTAAAGGCAATTCCCCATTCTCTCTTCTGTCAGATTTAGTGTATCTGGTTTTATGTTGAAGTTTCTGACCCACTTGGACTTGAGTTTGATTCATAGTGATAGATAAGGAATTTTTTGGAACTCCTAAAAGTGGGAGCTGGAGCTGTCTCTGACTCTTGTTCCAACTTTTAGAACCCTTACCAACTCTTACTGGTTTGCTTTATCAAGCCTTCAACTTGATATGCCATGTTTGATTGACACCCATCTCTGAATAGAAATGGAAGAGGAGTGGATATGGGGATGTAGAGTGGAGGTGAGGTTGGAGGACTGGGAGAAGGGGAAATGCCTGTCCGGCTGCAAAAATAACCGTCTAGATAACAATCCACTAAGGATTTTTTTTTTTTTTTTTTTGGTGACAGTTTCTTTGTAGCTTTGGAGCTTGTCTTGGAACTTGCTCTGTAGACCATGCTAACCTCGAACCCATAGAAATATGCCTGCCTCTGCCTCCAGATTGCTGGAATTAAAGGCGTATTCCACCACCGCCCGGCTCATGATTAAAGTCTTATTTACTTATTTCAGATAAGTTATCTATGTGCTTCATAAGAGTTACAGGAATTCATACAGTTCTCTTGTTATGATATATTCATATTTATTACAATTATTAGAGACAATAGAATGAAAACTTATTTTACTTTAGTCTTAATTATAAACAGACCTATTGATGTTTATTCATTAGTGAAGTAATTGCTAATATTTTGTAATCTCAAAGTTTATTCTTAAACTTTTATTTGGATTTGCTCATTTACAAATTCTGTCATTTCTGATTACACTCCACTGTCATCTTCTATAATGTTTTATCTTTTGTTATTTTAGGACCTGCAGTTCATAAGCATCAGTTCAATAGTAATGCTGTGACAGACATTAATTTAGATAATGTCTGCAAGAAAGGAAACACTTTATTATGGGACATAGTGCAAGATGATGATGCAGTAAGTTGTATAATAAATCCAGAAGGACTTAAAAATTAACAGCAAAATGCAGTCAAAATAAGTAATAACTATATATATATATATTTTTGTAGGTTAATCTTTCTGAAGGATTAATAAATGAAGCAGAGAAACTTCTCTGTTCGTTGGTTTGTTGGTTTACGGATAGACAGATTCGAATGAGATTCATTGAAGGCTGCCTTGAAAACTTAGGGAACAACAGGTAAAGAAGAAATACAATTTTTTCTTGTTGAGTAACAGTTCTTTCTGTGCCCTTGTATAGAATAGGTGTGTTGTTTTCATAGTGTTTACTATATAGATACAGTCACCTCTCAGCTGTTGTGATGTCCACGTTCTGCTTAGGGATATTTTTCTTAAAAGTCAACACTGTCTCTCAGTGGTAGTTCTCTTTTTATTCAACACCCAGATCAGCTACTCTCTACCATAAGCAAAGGATTAATAATACTATGATGTATTTTTTTAATTAATTAATTTATTTATTATGTATACAATATTCTGCCTGTGTGTATGCCCGCAGGCCAGAAGAGGGCACCAGACCCCATTACAGATGGTTATGAGCCACCATGTGGTTGCTGGGAATTGAACTCAGGACCTTTGAAGAGCAGGCAATGCTCTAAACCTCTGAGCCATCTCTCCAGCCCCTTATGTTATATTTTTTTTTAATGATTAGAGTGCATTTATTTTCTAAATAATTGGATTCATTATGATACTTCCATACACAACTTACCTTTGATACTGGCAGCACAGTGTGGTTATTTTGTTCAAACTGCATCTAAAGTTCTTGAACGTTCTCATATTGTATATAAAGAAGCCCAAGAAGTGAAATTAACGTATCTAAAAACAATCATTCTAAGGAGATAAGGGTTTTTTTTTGTCTCAACTTCTAGCATGTATAAAAGAATGAAGTTAGGAACTCATAGAGTTGAGTACATAGAATATATAGTTTTTATGTCATTTATGCTGCAGTAAAACAGATTTTACAATGTAGAAAATGTTACTTATTGTCAGACATACCTATAATCCCAGATCTTGAGAGGCTAAGAGAGGAAATTTGAGGTAAATTTGAGGCCAGTCTGAACTAAATAGTGAGACATTGTTTCTGCACAAGTAAAAACTGAGACCAGAAAGAGGGCCCTTCTCTGACATGATTGCATGTTTCTGTGACGTCTGGCACTAAACCAGTCCAGTCATAGACGGCCTGTTTCTGGGTAGTGATTTTTGTAAGTAGCAGAGCAACTTCCTTGTTGCAGTCTTTTGAACATCAGCTCTCCATACAAGGTTTATTTTGAAAAGAAAGTTCAGGTAGGTAAAGGTGATGCTGCCAAGACTAAAAACCAGAGTTTGTTCCATTTGACCAACAATAGGAAAGAGGAGAACAGACTTTAGAGAAGTTATCCTCTGGCCTCCACATGTGTCTTCTGGCATGTGAGACAAACACTATCTCTCTCTCTCTCTCGTTTGTTTTTTTGTTTTCATCAAAACGGTTTCTCTGTAGCTTTGGAGCCTGTCCTGAAACTCATTTTGTAGCCCGGGAGGTTGGGCATCAAACTCCAGCCTTCTGAATGCTGGGATTAAAGACGTGCATCACAGCACTGCTCCCTAAGTCTTAGTTTAAGTCTTGGTTTGAAAATTTTGAAACTAAACATAAATAGGCATTATGAACGAAATTATTTTTGTAAGGATGTACTTCTATGTAAAGTACATTAAGAACTTTTATGTTTAAGATTCTTAAGGACTGGATTTCTGTGATATTTAGGAGTTACTTGTTTTATTCTATGAATATTTATTTTTACTGTTTCAGATCAGTAGTGATTTCACTTCGTCTTCTTCCAAAACTGTTTGGTACTTTTCAACAGTTTGGTAGCAGTTATGATACACATTGGATTACAATGTAAGTGAATAAAAGATACAAAATACTTTTTAAGATTTTTTTTGCAAATTATATTATCAGATTTTGTAGTAGCTTTTTCTGTGCCTAAGGAGAGAAATTAGGTTTTATAATTTAAATATTTTGCTACTCTTTTCTGTCTTTTCCCCATATGAACATTATTTATTTATAGGTAAACTTGTTTTCTTTGTAATTTGAAAATGATACTGTAGCATTTGATACTCTAATATTAGGGAGAAGGTTTATATGTGACCACTGCAGAATACTGAATATGATCTGTAGTAAAATAAATATTCACGTTGTCTTAGGTTTTCCTTTCACTAGAATATGATACAAAACTGCCTTATAGTGATAATCTTAATACTACTTAATTATTCCCTTATACCTATGGAGAGTTATGATTAATGAATGTTAAAATAATTCCTTGAAGGGTAGTCTACTGATAGGAAAAAGCTCTGCGCTCTTATGCTTAGTAGTTACTCGGTACTCAGCATTTGATGTATCATGTATATCTCACACTCTAATCTCTTAGGCTTTTTCATTTGGTTTATGTATTGTTTTTGATTTAAGACAATCTGACTTTGTTGCCTACTTCACTTGGTGCTTGCTCTGTAGCCAGTTCTTGCTCATAGTGAGTTCATCAGATGGTCTCCAAAACAAAGGGAAACCAAATGAGTAATTTTGTCCCTCCACGGGTGTTAGTTTTGTTGTTGTTGTTGTTTAAAACCCTGATTATGGGGTTGGAAAGATGAATCAACAGTTAAGAGCACAGGTGCCATTTCTAGGATTTGATTCTCAGCATCCGCATGGCAACTTAAAACCACCAGTCTCAGTGGAGCTGACATCCTTTTCTAGCTTCCTTTTGGCACTGCATGCAAATGGTGCACAGATGAACACTTAAGCAAAAACAAACCAACAAAAAAATCAAAAAAAAAAACATGAAAAATAAAGTAATGAATTAAAACTTTAAATTCTTTAAGTTTATTTTATTTATTTAATCAAATTTTATGTGTTTGGGTGTTTTATCTTCATGTTATGTGTATCACATGGGTCCAGTGCCTGTGAAAGCTAGAAGGTATTTTACCCTTAGGGATTGATGTAATAGTGGTGAAAAATGGGTGCTGGAACTTGAACCTGGGGGTTCTCTGGGAGAGCAACCAGTGTCTTTACTACCAAGCCATCTCTCCAGCCCAGGAGGAAAAATTACGAGGGTTTGTTTGTTTGTTTGTTTGTTTGTTTGGGAACAGAGTCTTATTAATACAGCTTTGGCTGGCTTGGAACTTGCAAAGTAGACCAGCATGGCCTTCATAGGGATGTGGCCTGCCTCCCTTGTGCTGGGACTAAAGGTGTTTTGTTGTCAGCTGGGCATGCTGACTTATATCTTTAATCTCAACAGTTTATGGCTAGCTTGATCTACAGAACAAGTCCCATGACAGCCAGAGCTCCACAGAGAAACCCTGTCTTGAAAATCAGCCAAGCCAAATCAAGACAAAAACTTACACATTTGAAGATGTCTCACACTTTATTCTTTTCAGGTATATCTTTTGTTCTCTTTCCCTTTTAAAATTATTATTTTCTTTTAATTGGGCCAGGTGGGCAGAAAAAGAACTGAACATGATGAAGCTTTTCTTTGACAATCTGGTGTATTACATTCAAGGTCTCAGAGAGGGAAGACAGAAGCATGCATTGTAAGTACCTCTTTAGTAGGTGAAATGATTTCTAGTCCTCTAACAGATAATTTTCTGCTTTCCTTTCTTTAATATGTAAACAGTATAACTATGTAAAATTGTAAGAGAAAATCAAAGACGTTATGTTAAATTTTCATGATGTTAGTCCCATAATTCTTAGTAAAGGTAGGTTGTTTAACTTGGAACTTGGTTAACTTAAGCTACTGAAATTATTTAAAGTCCTTGTAGTTAGTTAAAAGTAAACATTCTCCTGAAAGTGTTAGTATTTTCCTAATGTAGTAGTACTTTTATTTTAAAATGTAAATATATTTTTAAGTTCTTTATTTATTTTCCTTTATGTGTTCCCTCCCGTGTTTTTCCTTCATGTACAACCATGTTGTTTGTCTTCATCATTTTCATGTCAGCTCTGTGCAGAGGCAAGCAGTGGGCATAGGACTCCCTGGAACTGGAGGTACAGACAGATAGCTGTGCGCTCTACCATAAATAAGCATGCTGGGAATTGAATCCTGGTCCTCTGGAAGAGCAGTCAGATCTCTTAACCAGGGAGCCATCTCTAGATGACCATCCCTAGAGACCTTGTCTAAACAAAATAGGGTGGAGAGTGATTGATGAATATGCCACTTATTGTCCTCTGTCCTCTTACAGCTACGTGCGTGGTGTGCATTCATCACCCTCCTTTCCTTACACTTGTACACAATTATCAAAAAAGAATAAAGTGCTAACCTTTTAAAGATACACAGCAACCCATTTGAGGAAAACAGTCTTATTTTACAAATGATAACACTAAAGATAGGAAAAAATCTATTTAACTGACCCAACGTCACACATACAGTAAAGAATGGAGCTAGGATTTATGTTTAATTCTAATTTAATGTGTTTCTAGCACTTATAATTATTTTTATTTACTTTTTAAGCAGGATTTTGTTGGCCTGGATCTCACGTATTGAGTCTGATTTGACTTTAACCTTAAAATACTCAGTGGTGAAATCTCGCCAAATTATACCATAAGAATATTCATGCATAGTCAAAATAGAGACTGCCTTGGTGTACTTTCTTTGATTTTCCAGACTGTTTAATAATACTCATTTTCTGAAACACACTGATCTCATGAATTTGGGGCATTTTTAACCTCTCTCTGGCGATTATAATACAGAAATGCTGAAGTTTAGCCTAAGAAAAACATTCTGTTGGAAAGGAAAGAGAATTCATTTCCTACAAGAGCATGTTAGAATATTTCCTGAGACCCAGGGCTCTTTGGATAAAAGACTTAGCTGTTTTGGTGGTAAAAGTACAATGGAAGCGGTTCCTGTTACTTGTTAAATAAAAATAAAAAGTATTTTTTTTTAAGTGTGAATGTGCACTTTAACAGGTGGGGGGGGTGCACATGAATGTGTGGGAGACAGGTCAGCCTCAAGGATTGTTCCTTAGGAACTGTCTACTATATTTTTAAGATGGAGTTTTGCTAGTACCCGATGCTTTTTAAGTGGGTTAGGATGGCTCACAGTGAGCCCCAGGCATTCTTTAGTCTTCACCTCTTCTGTTCTGGATTATAATTTCACGGACATAGATTGTCTGGCTTATTTATTTATTTTTTTTTTTATGTTTTTATGTTTGTTTGTTTGGCTTGGTTCTCTGTGTATCCATCGCTATCCTGGAACTCACTCTGTAGACCAGGGTGGCCTTGAACTCAGATTGTTTGACTTTTTACCTGGTTGTGGGGGATTAAAGTTGAAGCAGTTGAATCAAGTTGACATCATGCTTGCATGATGATGATTCAAACTGAAGTTATTTGGTAAGAAGGAACCTGGCTTGAGAAGTTGTTTTCATCTGATTGGCCATTGGACATGTTGCTGGAGATATGGGGTTCTTCAGTGAGTGATGTGGGAGGGCCCAGCCCACTGAACATGACGCCATCCCTGGGTGGATGGTTCTAGGGTGTATAAGAAAGAAGCTTAAGCAAACCTGTAAAGCAAAGCCTATAAATTCTGTTCCTCTGTGCTCATAATGCTTCTACTACAAAATGCCTTTCTATTTAAAGGCTAGAAGGTACTAAAAGCCTTTTAATTTTTTTTAAATTTTAAATTTATCTTGATAACACATTAGGTTGTGAGTTGCTTACTACTTGCCTTTTCTCCTAATCAAGCTATTTTCATTCTCACAAAAAGCACTAATACATTACATAGCCACTGAAAAACAGAAAAGGTACCGATGATCTTCGTCTTTAGAACAGCAGTTTTCAAACTGTGAGCCGTGGCAACTCCTGGGGTTTGAAGCACTCTTTCACAGGGTTTTTTTTTTTAAGACCATTGGGAAACATAGACAATTGTGATTCGTAAGAATAGCAAAATTATAGTGAAGTGACAATGAAAATAATTTTATGGTTGGGGGTCACCACAACATGAGGATCTATATTAAAGGGTTGTAGCATTAGGATCTTTGAGAACAGAGTTCTCTGTGTAACAGCCCTAGCTGTATCGGAACTTGTTTTGTAGACCAGGCTGGTCTTGAACTTATAGAGATCCTCCTGCCTCTGCCTCCTGAGTGCTGGGATTGAATGTGTGTACCACCACTTCCTGGCTAGAATAAAACTTTTAACCTTTGATCTCTTATAGTAACATGTCACTTTATGACACTTTTGAAATTTTGTACTTAGTAGAAAATTATAAACATTTCTATTACAAGGTTTTCAGAATTATCTGTTAACTATGATATAGATTAGAAATTAGGTTGGCTGCTGCTACATGTTGGCAAAGCAGTTTGAGCAGTTTGAAACTCAATGTGTTTTTTATTCTGTAATAGAGATAAGAACTCATGGTTTAGTTTTGTATCACAGAAACTGATCCTTCAAATCATAGTTCAGTGTGTTGCTGGAGTGTTCTTCAAATGGAAATCCAGTTGTTACTCTCACTCCCTATCCTGTCAGTGTCCTTTCAGTGACTCCTTTTTTTATCTGTAACATACATACAGAACATTGCTTTCTGGTATTCAGATGATCACATTGGGGTTATGGTCAAATCCTTCTCTTTTCGTAGGATATGGTGCTTTACAGATGCGTATAAACTCAGTTCCTAGAAAATTATGTGAACTAACTAATTTACTGAACCAGGCTTTTATGTTACTGAACAATGTTTATGTTACTATTAAATTTTGTTCAGGTAATTATTTAAGTTTGAAGTAATAATCGTAGTGCCAACTTTGTATAGGATATTTTTTGTGAACTAAATTTCCACCGTGTTAAGTTAAATAACATCTACATGGATAGTGATATAACACATGCATTCCAGATTAACATATAGTCTTTCATTTCTTAACTTTTATTTTATGTGGATATAATATTATTTTGAAATAGCATATCTTTTGCTTACTGATGATTTTTCATACTTTCGGTTTTATCTTTGAGTTATTTTTTTATTTACATACTTAAAAAACTAACTTGAAGGCTGGTAAGAGTTACACTGGCTCAGTGTTTAAACGTACTGGCTACTCTTACGGAAGACATGGTTTCATGGTGACTTAGAGAGATCTGTGTGTCCAGATTGAGGGGATCTGATGCCTTCTAACTTCTGTGGACACAGGCAAAACATTTAGATACATAAAATAAATATTAAAAAATTTTGAAGGTTTTAAAAAACAAACTTGAAAGTAAGTTTCATTATAGCCAAAAATTTTCATGAACTTGTAAATGCATATAGTTGTATAATTAAGGCACTGGGGTACTGTAAATTGTATATGTTTTTTTTTCCTACGTTATGATTAAGAACATTAAACATCTTACTAAATGATGTAGGATCTTGTTGGGTGTGGTAGCCTAGACTTGTAGTCCTAGTGCAGGATGGTTGCCTTGAATTCAAGGCCATTCTTCATTAAAAAATCATGAAAAAAGAAGAAAGAAATGGGTTCTTCGGTTAATTATTTGAATGGTTCTTTGTAGGTACAGCCATAGTGCCGAAGTTCAAGTTCGACTTCAATTCCTAACTTGTGTGTTTTCAACTCTGGGATCACCTGATCATTTCAGTAAGATTTTAATTTCTTTTAACTTATTTGTGTATTTGTACACATGTGCTTATTAAGGGTACATGAGGAGACCATACGACAATTTGAAGGAATCTCTCTAGAGCCATCTATCTAGAGTCAGGCTCTAGATACCTGACTTGTCAGGTGGCAGTACCTGAACCTATCTAGATATTGGCATTACAAATTTCATGAAAATATTTTTGATACACATTTCAAGTAAAACATCCTCATGGCTTTTCATAATAATTTTAAAAGTAAAATACACATCTTTTTAATAGCATGTTTATGTTCTGTTTTATTACGTTATTGTACCCCACTTGACTAAAAGCAATAAGAAACAAAACATAACATATGGAGATAGGAAAAACAAATACTAGTATAAACAGTGTCTGATAACTGCTGCGTTTTGTGTTTATTTTATGCAGTATAGCTTCTCTACAAAAAATTTACTGTCTAGATAAAACCACCAACAAAACCCCCAAACCACTCCACTCAGAAGATAATAATATTACAAACATAGTATAGATATGTTTAATTATGCTGGGTACATTAATACATTAAAAAATTTTTTTGAAAAATTTATAAAAATAACCAATGCTAATACCTATTGAATGTATTTCTGTGGTTCAGTGAATTTTAGCCAGTCTAATTACATAATTCACTATAATTAGCCACAATACTTTTTATTGTGGAATCTTTTAACTCTTATCTTTTTTTTTTTAAAACATACTGAACATTACTTATAATTTATGTTACCTTTTATCTTTTAAGATTTATCTTAATTTTTATTCTTTTTTTTTTATTTATTTATTTTGATTTTTGAGACAAGGTTTCTCTGTGTGTAGCCCAGACTGTTCTGGAACAGTCTCTGTAGTCCAGCTAGACCATACTGGCCTCAAACTCAGAGATCCTCTTGCCTCTATAGTGCTAGGATTAGGGGCGTGTACTACCAACACATTACTCTGTGTGTGTATGTATGTGTGTGTCAGTGTCAGAGAGAAAGAGATGTGCTCAAACTCAGAGATACTCTTGCCTCTGTAGTGCTAGGATTGAAGGCCTGTACCACCAACACATGGTTCTGTCTCTGTGTGTGTGTGTGTGAGTGAGTGAGTGACAGAGGGACAGAGAGATGTGTGCTGGTGCCCACCAAGATTAGGATATTACAGGATATTAGATCTCCTGAAGTTGAAATTAGCGGCAGTTTAGAACTGATTTCTGTTACTCTAAGAGCAACAAGCACTCTTACCACTGATCCATCTTGTCAGCCCTCAGGTTGGCTCTAAGCAGCACATGCTCTTTTTAGAAAATAATCTACAACACCACATATTACTTTTGAGACAGGGTCTGACTTATGGCTCTGGTTGTCCTAAACGACTTGGAAAGCATTATTTGGCTTTGACTTAAAATTCTTCAGACTCATGGTCTGAGGGCTACGATTATAGTTACTGAAGTCATAAATCCTTTCATAGAATATTGATACTTAGGTTACTTAGGTGAATGTTTTCTCTTGTGGAATGCCATTTGATTTCTGAGTAACGGGATTTTTGGTTATTTCTATAATTTCATGACCCCCCCAGAGTGTAGGAAACCACAGTAGGCTTTGGAATGAACTCAGGAAGTTAAAAATCCTTTGCCTTGTCTTTTTTTTTTTTTTTTTCCTCGAGACAGGGTTTCTCTGTGGCTTTGGCGCCTGTCCTGGAACTAGCTCTGTAGACCAGGCTGGTCTCGAACTCACAGAGATCCGCCTGCCTCTGCCTCCCAAGTGCTGGGATTAAAGGCGTGCGCCACCATCGCCCGGCTGCCTTGTCTTTTTTAAATTTATATTTAGACTTGTGATTGCCTGTAATGTTTTCTGTTTCATTATACAGAGTTTTTTTTTTTTTAAATCTGTTTTTCTTTGTTATATTTGGGAATCTTTTGATTTTTGGGTCAGAATACTCTGTATATGTCATCTGAATCTGGTGAAGGGAATCCTTTGTATTTCATCATTTCCTGCACTTTTGCTTTGTTCTTTATAGGGATTTCTTCCATAGTTTATAAAAATAATGTTTGTTATCCTCTGTCTCCCATGGACAGCCTTTGTATATGCTCTCTACTCTTGTAATCCTCAGCTTTAGAATTGAATCCTCAAAATTTCTGTGTTCGTCTCCAGGTAGGACAGGTAATCCTGTCTACAAGATAGAAGAATTTTAAGCTCAAAGCCTGTTGTCACTGTAATACAGTGATGCATTTACATTTAAAGACCATGACACTATCCTTTAGACCTATTATTGTAGGTCTAAACCCTTTAAGAAGACTTTCCTTTGTGTGTGTGTGTGTGTGTGTGTGTGTGTGTGTGTGTGTGTGTGTGTTTCGAAAGATTGTATTCAGGGGCCTCATCATTCACTAATGAACTATATCCCCAGCCATACAACAGTTTTTGTGGCTTTTATAGTCATGTTAGATTATGCATATGTAATATCTTGTTTTTATTTCATTTTTAATTTTGTGTATGTTGCATATGTCTTTGTGGGTATGTTATCCAAGTGTGAGTTCCCACGTTGGCCAGAGATGTCCTCTGGAGATATAGGTGGCTGTAAGCCAATTAATGTGTGTTATGGGTCCTCTAGAAGCATAGTACATGCTCTCAAACTGCTGCGTCACGCCACTAGCTCTGATATATCTACTTTGACAGCAAAACTTAGTGAAGTTTTTTAAAAATACTATTTTGTGATATTCTGTCAACTATCCAGTTGGTGGCAGCACTCACCTTTAATCCCAGCACTTGGGTGGCAGAGGTAGGCGGATCTCTTGAGTTTGAGGCCAGCCTGGGCTACTGAAGGAGTTCAGGATAGCCAGGGCTGCACAGAGAAACCCTGTCTTCAGAAATAATATGCTGTCAGTTAGCTCCTTTATATACATATTTGGTTCTAGCTGCTTTTAGTATAATCAGTTAGGGCCACAATGGTTTATATAATCCTGATTCAAATTTTTAGACAGAAAATCATAAGGAATTAGTACTAGTAATTAACAACATATGTATTTCATGAAAAACAAACTATATATACACATATGTTCAAAAGGAGATGCATAGTTGTTTTTTTTTTAATAATTTATAAAACACAAGTCAGATGTGGTAAGTCACCAATATTTCATCACTTGGCAGATGCAGGCAGGCAGAATACAAGTGTAGGCCAGAGTGAGCTATGTAGTAGTAGTGTATATCACACCTTTCCCTCTAAAATCAATAAAGCATAAAATTTATCATTTTTGTTTAGGGTTAAGTTTAGAGCAAGTCGACATTTTATGGCATTGTTTAGTAGAAGATTCTGAGTGCTATGATGATGCACTTCACTGGTTTTTAAATCAAGTTCGAAGTAAAGATCAACATGCAATGGGAATGGAAACCTACAAACATCTTTTCCTGGAGAAGGTAATTTTACATCTTTGAAATTCTTTTTGTTTATTTTTGTATATGCATTTAAATCTCCTGAAGTATGACTCCTGCGGTAGTCCCTGTCTTATTTTTCCTGTCTTACATATATCTTTCAGAGTAAACAGATGCATCAGGTTTTGATGATCCTTATATAACTTTTCCAATTCAGATTTTCCTGTCGTGTTACCTTTTATTTTTAACTAAATGTAAATTTAGTTTATATTTATAAATATAATCTATTATTTATTTAATAATTCAGAGCAATTAGAATAATGTTAAGGATGGCACTAACCATAAATGTTGGTCTTTAGGTCTTGAATTTTAAAATTGATTCTCAGTTTTAAATGTGTGCCCACAACAACAAGTATAGTTCCTAATTCCAGAGTCTTCTTGAGTTAAATTTCCATAATTTCAATCTGTCTTTTGTCCAACTATAAGCTAATATCCACATTTGTGAGCTTCTTGAGACAGACAGCCTTATAAGAAGTATAGGGGTGATAGTAACATACGTGTTTCTGTTCACCATAATCAGATGTTGCAGGTAGCTACTGTTATATAAACTATAACATTTGAATCAATATTTGTTAAAAAAAGATGTGTATAGATTGTGGTATTACATGCCTATAATCTCAATGTTTGGGAGGTGGTGGGAAGAGGATCAGGCGTTCAACATAGCAAGTTGAGACTGAAAACTAAGGTTTTTTTTCCCCTCATGCCCTTTTTATTTACGTATCTTATCTGTCTGTCTAGCCTTTTATTATTTATTTATTTATTTATTTATTTTCGAGGCAGGGTTTCTCTATGTTACAGTTCTAACTGTCCTGGAGCTTGCTTTGTAGATCAGGCTGGCTTTGAACTCGGCATGCCTCTGCCTCCCCAAGTGCTGGGATTAAAGGCGTGCACACTACCACCCAGCTGGCTGGCTAGTTTATCTTGTCTGTCTGTCTGTCTATCAATCATCTATCTAACCATTCATTTAATTATTTACTTAATCATTTATTTATTTAATTTTGTTTTTACGAGACAGGATTTCTCTGTAGCTTTGGTGCCATCCTAGAACTAGCTCTTATAGATTAGTTTGGGCTAGAACTCACAGATCTCTGCCTGCCTTTGCCTTCCAAGTATTAGGATTAAAGGCATATACCACCACTGCCCAACTTATTTATTTATTTATGATTAGAAAAGTTCCTTGCTAATTCACAATGTCTCTGGGTTACAGTATAATAAATGAGTTTTACACCAAGGTACAGATAGAATTTATTTTTATCATAACTTTTGTCCTTCAATACAAACTACATTTAGTTAGATATCATAAATGTATATAGTCATATTTAATAGATGACAAAACATTTTTATTTACTTTTCTTGATTTGCGTGTATGTTTGTGATTGAAGTAAACATCAGTCAGGTGCACCTGATTGAAGCACACTTGTCTTCAGGCTTTGCGTGAATAGAACTTTTAAAAATTATTTAAATGTTTACATTATTGCCAGATCTTTTCTGATGTTTTTCCTTCTATATTGTCTTTAGTAAAATTAATAATCTAATAAAATCTGTTAACATTTTTTCTTTAAGATGCCCCAGCTAAAACCTGAAACAATTAGCATGACTGGCTTAAACCTGTTTCAGCATCTGTGTAACTTGGCTCGATTGGCTACCAGTGCCTATGATGGTGGCTCAAATTCTGAGGTAAGGTTTTAGACTTAGTGTTCTGTCAGATAAAATTTGAGAGATTTTTTTCTTGTTTTCAAATTAGATTGCCAAGTTATCTTTCTATAAACTTTGCCTTTATTATAAAGATTAATTTTATTTCAGGTGTCTCTCCTCCCTTCCCAACAGGTTTTGTGTGTGTGTGTGTGTGTGTGTGTGTGTGTGTGTGTGTGTGTGTGTAACCCTCCCTGTCTTGGAATCTGCTCTGTAGATCAGGCTGATCTCAAACTCAAAGAAATCTGTTTGCCTCTGCCTCTGAGTGCTGGGATTAAAGGCGTGCGCCATCACCAGCTGTTGTTATTTCAAACTTTAAATGCTTTATATTTGCATTTTGGTATTGTGATTTTATTTGCCAAAGGAAAGTATGCTTTTGCCTTAAAATGTCTCATTATTTGCTTTGTGATTTGTTTAGAAGGATAGGTGCTTGTTCTGTTATTTTTCTTGCAGCTTCTGGAAAATATAACTATTTTATGGAAAACTTAATTTGCATGAAATAACTTTTAAAAACTTTAATTATTTGTGTGTGAGCACAGTTGTGCTTCTGTGGAAGTCGGAGAACAGCTTACAGGAGTCAACCTGCTTCGACCATATGTGTCCTGGTGTTTCTAAGTCAGCCCATCATATTTGACAGCAAGCACTTTACACTGAGCTGTTTCCTTGACTCTGAAGTTCAATATGCCTGCCTTTTGCTATAGCTAAGATTTTAACCTATTTATAGCAGTATATACTAATATATAATGTAATTTGTAGTGATTTTTTTTCTATGATCTACATAGATCAGTCATTATGATTAGCTGATTAACTGCACACTTCTACAAATTTCTAGTTTACCTTTGGCGTTAAAATATTTTCCTTCCCCAGACTGGATGACTGCAATGTATTTGGACGATTGTCACTATTCTTCTAAAATAAACTGTTATTTAAGGTCTTCCTTGTTAAACATTCTTCTAGTTAGTGAATTGGTAGCTTTTTTTATTTTTATATTATTGTGTGTAGTTAATTTTGTTTTATATGAGGAGGATAAAATTGTTAGTAATCTGTATTATAAAGAATAATTTTAGAGCTGGTGATACAGCTTAGTTTGTTGAATGGTCCCCCAGCAGGCACAAATCCCTGTGTTTCAGTACCAGTGCCCCATAAACCTAGTAATGAAAGTAGTCCACACCTGTAATTTCCAGATTTGGGTGATGGAAAAAAGAGGATAAGGACTTCAGGTTAATTCTTGACTCCATAGTGAGTTCTAGACCATTCTGGATTTCATGAGATGTTGTCTCACAAAATAATTTTGCTTCTAACAGCTGTGTTCTTTCCTATCTTCATAGTGTGCATTTTCTTTATATAGTGATATGGGACTTTTTTTTTTTAAAGATTTATTTATTCATGTACATGTAAGCTCTATCTTCATGCACATAAGAAGAGACAGCCAAATTCCATTCTAGATGATTCTGAGCCCCCATGTGGGTGGTGAGACTCAGGACTTCTGGAAGAACAGCCAGTACTCTTAACCACTGAGCCATCTCTCCAGACTGTGGGGCTTATTTTGTTCTTGTTTTTTTAAGTTTTCGTCTTAGCACCAATATTACTACATTTCTGTTTAATAATTTCAAGACAATCAGACAATCTTTAGTTGCTACTTAATAACTATGTTCTGCTAGCTGGTATTTTACTGAGGCTATCCAGTTATCCATTGGGAGACCGTCTTTCTTCACTCTGTCCACATTTTGAGGACTTTCACTTGATCTGTTTCTGTGTAGCACTTACCAGAAACATTTCTTTTGGTATCTCTAGTTAACATTACTAATGTGAATAAGAATTTGGTTACTGTGTCCACTAAGTTATGAATGACTGCATTAGAGTGATAGCTTTATCAGTGTAACTTGGATGAAAAGCATTGAAGTATTTTGTAAGTTATTATAATTTGTTGGTTTTATTCCTTTGCAGCGTGTTTTATATTATTGTGTTTCATGTAATTTATTAAGCATCATATATAGTTTTCCTGCTTTATAAATAAATTCAATTGATTTTAAAAGTTCTTCATTATCTAAGGAAGTATGTAAACTTTTCTTAATGATGATTATTATATAATGTCCAAATATATAAACTACACTTTTAGTACTTTGTAAAGTATTAAGTTTACTATTTAACTCCATATTTGTTATTTTAATCTAATAATCTGCCTTCATTTAACAAACAAACTTTAAAAATGTCTTTGTCTTTAAACCTTAGCTGTGTGGTATGGACCAGTTTTGGGGCATTGCATTAAGAGCACAATCGGGTGATGTCAGTCGAGCAGCTATTCAGTATATTAACTCCTACTACATTAATGGTAAGTAATTTGAAATACTGTTTAAAAAATAAAGATTAATTTTTGTAAAATTTCAAGATTTCTCTTTTTGTTTGTTTCATTAAAACTTTTTGGGGACATTTGATTTTATTTGTTTGCGTGTTTGCCTGAATTTATGTATGTGTGCCACTTGTGTGCATTGACACAAAGGCCATAAGAGGACATCAGATTTCTTGGAACTGCAGTTATAGATGGTTCATGTGGGTACTGGGAATTAAACTTGAGTCCTCTGTAAGAGCAGCCAGTTATTTTTATTCTGAGGCATCTCACCATCTGTATTTATTTTTTCTGAGACTCAGTCTTGCTATTCCTAGTTGGCTTAGAATTCTCAATCCTTTTGCCTTAGTTTCCTTAGTGATGGACTAACAGGCATGTACCACCACTTCCAGTTCTTATAAGTATTTTTTCTCCCAGGGAGATTTTACTAAGCTTCAGTTTGGCTCATTTTCTTTAATACAGGCAAATAAAAATGTGAAAGTGTAATGAATATGCATCTGGGTTTCAGGTAAAACGGGTTTGGAAAAGGAGCAAGAATTTATTAGCAAGTGCATGGAAAGTCTTATGATAGCTTCTAGCAGTCTTGAACAAGAATCACACTCAAGTCTCACAGTTATAGAAAGAGGATTACTTATGCTGAAGACACATCTGGAAGCATTTAGGAGAAGGTAATTTTGTTAAATTGTACTACACAAATCAGTTTCGATATTTATATTGATAGCATCTCTATATGTATTCTTAAAGTTCTTGTCATGGGCACATAGGAAACATAATTTACCAAAAATAAATGGATTGTAATGAAAATTTTTGCTATAGAAACTTAGGTATCATTTTCCTATTGAAACAGGCAATATAATATCCTCATAAATATACAGATTTGAAAATCTTAAGGCGTTCAGCAGTTATGCATGAATAAGAAACTGGACAGAATTCCATTTCTACGGAGGTGTTAATTATGACCGAAAAGGCAGGAACACAACACTGAGACAAGTTACACTGCCACTCTCCCCAACAACATCATATAATCTTTCATATTTTATCAAGTTGAATCATTTGTTTCATTTGCTGTTTTTTTTTTCTTCCTGGACTAGGAGAGAGTATTTTAATTTTGAATTTCCATTTACCATGGAAACATGACCAAAACTTTCTGTGTTAATGAATATCTATATAATTAATTTAGACATACCCTGTGTAATACAGAAATAAAGCAAATTAACATTTATGAATATATCAACCGAAATGAAAGGTGAGTAGATAGTTTTAATTACAAAATTCTGTTTGTTAAAAGTCATTTAACGATGAGTATTAATGTAAAAGTACTAAGAACTGTGTTGAAAATTTGTTAAAGTTATAACTTCTTTCAACCTCAGATCTTAGTTTGATATTTGTAAAATCACATGCAATTCATATTTTTGACATTTTAGTGAACTGGTAGGAAATACTCAGTAAGAAAGATACCCCTATACATTTTTTATATGTATACATGATTTGAAACATTTGTGTAGTGCAAGATTCTTTTATCATTAGTTTGTAGAGATTTACCTAAATCTTTCTTGTGTTTTTAAACAATGTGTAAGAGAACTCCTGAATTTTTGCACAGAAACATCAGAGCCCCTGAACCTGTACCACTTTAGAAAAGTTAAAATAAAGCAGATGTGGTGGTCTCATTCAAATTAATTAAAAAGTCAATCAAAACTTGTTGTATAACTCAAACATTACACTAAGATACTATTTATAAGTCTGTAATTTCTGTTTCATGTTAGACATGCTTGCCGTTAATGTTATACTGAATTATTTATGAACAAATTTTGTTATATGAAGAGTAGTGAACTGGTAGGTTAGCACAAATCCATAGGTCTTGTACATTGTAATTTTACCAGTATTTAACATTAAATACAAAAGTACTTACTTTTCATTTTCAAAGGCTCAGTAGTACTTTTCATGAGTTTACAGAGTTTAAGCCCAGGACTCCTTCTCATCCATACTAGTTTTGTGATACTGTGAAGAAATACCTGTGTCCTTCATATGTATCAGCTTCATTTTATGCTAAAGTTAATCTTGCTGTCAAATTATATGAATATCTGTAACTAGTAGACCATTAATTACATTAAATTTACTAAATAAGAAAAAAACCATAAACCAGAGCAGTAGCTGAAAAGTTATGTATTGCCCAACACATCTTGTCTCCCTGTATATCAAGTGCTCAATATGGTTATTATAAATTTAAAATTATGTAACATGTAGATAAAAATTTGAGATAGCTTGTCTTATAGTGAATAGTAGTATTATCTTAAAGAATTTACCTTTTAGAGAGAGGTTTAATTTCAGAAGTGACCAGCGGCGCTTGTAGGGTGTGTCAGATCACCTGCCCATTTTCTCCAAGAATAATATAAGTTATTGAAATCAAAATATCAGGGGAAGCAAGGTTATAAAAACTAAAACTTGAAATATTTAGTAGAAGGCATTCTTTTAATTACTCTTTTATTCAGTCACAGCCCAGGGTATTGTTTCACTTGAAGGAAATAAGTTAATTTCTTTTCATGTCAGAACTCCTTATTAGTCTTAGACATCTATCCATCCATCCATCTATATTGTAGATATAAATATATAAATACAGATATAAACATGTATAGGAATTAAGGAATTTGGGGGTGGGTAAAGAGTACTTTGAAGAATTTATTTTATTTTCTATGCACAACTGTTTTGGACACATGTATGTATGTGTACCTGCTGTATGCCAAGGTCCAGGGAGTCTCATCCACTAGAACTAGAGTTATGCTGGTTATGTGCCACCGTGTGGTTGCTAAAAATTAAACACCAGCTCTGCAAGAGCAGCATCACTCTAGCCAACTAGAATTAGTCTTTTAATCCAGTTTATTTTTGTGCTTGTGGGTAAAATCCAATGTCTTATTCTGTTAAACTGATTTACATAACAAATATATTCTTATATCTCAAGAATATTTCAATGAATATGTCTTTCTCTGAAAGTATTTCTTAACATCTTCTAAATGTAAAAATGATAACATGATACATTATTATTAGATTAATGTTGAATTCTGTTTTACTTTCCTCCTGCTTCTACTCCTACTCCTTTAACGATATATAATGGGATTTTCTCCTCCAATAATTCATTCAATATGTTAAATCTAAAATTGTTGTAAGCTTTTGTGGACTTTTTCTATTTTTAAAAAATTTTAAAAACTTTTGTAACATTAAAGTGTTCAAAATTGTTTCCTCTGTGTGTTTTGTGTTTTTAGGTTTGCATATCATCTGAGACAGTGGCAGATTGAGGGCACTGGTATTAGTAGTCATTTGAAAGCACTGAGTGACAAACAGTCTTTGCCTCTAAGGGTTGTATGTCAGCCTGCTGGACTTCCTGACAAGGTAGTTACAAGGTTTTAATTTCCAAATTTGGTAACATTCATCTTTAAAAATCTTTGCTCGGTTGATCGGGTCTGGTAAATTTTTTGTAACTTTTAATTGGTTGCATCTTATATTTCAGATGACTATTGAAATGTATCCCAGTGACCAGGTAGCAGATCTTAGGGCTGAAGTAACTCACTGGTATGAAAACTTACAGAAAGAACAAATAAATCAGCAAGCTCAGCTACAGGAATTTGGTCAAAGCAACAGAAAAGGAGAGTTTCCTGGTAGGTTAAACAGTTGACATGTTCAGTACAGTTTTTAGCTTTATTGTATAGCAGATGTCTTGGTCCATCTTGTGTTGCTATAACAGTTGCCTTAATGGAAGGTTTTATTGTTGGTGGTGTTTTTTTGTTTGTTTCTTTTATTTTAATTTTGAAAATGGGATTTTAACTCTGGAGTCCAAACTGACCTAGAACACACTGTATAGCCCCAAGCTGGAACCAGACTCTCAGGAATCCTCCTACCAGGACTTCAGTGTTCTGGGATTACAGATGTAATCTGTAATGAGCCATTACGCCTGCCTATACAGAGTATAACCTGATACTTGTTTCATACCGTCCTGCAAAATATAAGATTAAAGTACCAGAATCTGGTAAGGGCTGCTTTCTGTTTCAGTACAATGCCTTCAACTCTCAAAAGGTCAGAAAGAAAGAGAGCTCCTGTGTCCAGACCTTTGTATAGGTATTAATGCATCTGTAATGGCTTTGCCCTTGTGTCCTAAAGTCCTCCCAACAAATCTCATCTCTAAACACATGAAGGAACCAATGTCATTTAACATATTTGTATGGGAACAACAAAGCATTCAGACCATCAGCAATTTTAAATGTTTAAAGATCTCATGGCTGCTTTCCTGGTCTTGGTATCATTTTGTTAGGTATCAGTAGAACAGTGGTTGGGGTATTGATCACAAACATCATTTGTTTCTCACAGGATTTTTTTTAGGCTTCTAAAAATATTTTTTTCTTTTTCTTTGTTTTTTGATTTTCGTTGGTTGGTTTTAGGTTTTTCTTCAAGACAGGTTTCTCTGAGTTTTGGAGCCTGTGCTGGGACTAGCTCTTGTAGACCAGTCTGGCCTTGAACTCTCAAAGATCCACCTGCATCTGCCTCCCACGTAGTATAATAAGTATAATAGTATAATTATTCCTATGAAAATTACCTTCTGAACCCTTGCAAAGACTACATGTTGGTGTGACTACATGACAGTTCTACTCTAGGGACAATAATGGCCACAATCAGTCTCGTTGTGAGAAATGAGTTATTTTCCTATATTTTCTTGGTGTGAATGGGACAGTAATTTAGAGCTTTGATGTGTCATTTTTGGGGTTGTGACTCTAGTTTATTGGTAGAATTGGTAGAATACTAATGCGGTGGTGGCGCATGCCTTTAATCCCAGCACTCAGGAGCAGAGGGAGGTGGATCATTGTGAGTTTGAAGACCAGCCTTCCTTATCTACAAGAGCTAGTTCCAGGACAGGCTCCAAAGCTACAGAAAAACCCTGTCTCAAAAAACTTTTAAGGAGTGGGAGGAGGGGGAGGGAAATGGGAGGCGGGGAGGAGGCAGAAATTTTTTTTTCAATAAAAAATTATATTACAAAAAAATAAATAAATAACTGAATAAAAATACTTGCCTGGTATAGTCAAGGCCCTAAGTTGACCCTGCCTTGCTATCACATGCAAAATAGAAATGTTATGTCATTATGTAAAGAATTTTCCTGCTTTACTCATTATTCCTGAAAATAGTTGCTTTATCCTCACTAAATAGATTTTTCTGCATTAATAAAATTCAAGGTTGGGGTTCACTCACTGGTAGAATTTTTGCCTCATATGTGAAAAATTCTTGGTTTTGATCCCTGGAGCTGTGAGCAAGAAATCATAAAATTAGGCACTGACAGCTGTGTGTGGTGGCATTTGGTATAAACCCCACATGTAGGAAGCTGTTACAGGAACCCTAGCTTCATACTGAGATTGAGAGCCTCCTTAAAGACAAATCAAAAACGAATAATGTTTGATTAATTTATTTCACAATAATTTTATTCATTTCCCAATTAAGCACTTCTATTATTATTGCTATTACTATTATAATATCATCCACTATATAGTAATTAATTTGGGCATCTACTATGTTTTAGTGGCTAGAATCCCTCAGTAACTTTTAAAAAAGAAACATGCACCTGTTGGGACTGAAGGTTTATGTATTTTTTTTTAATATTTATTTATTTATTATGTATACAATATTCTGTCTGTGTGTATACCTGAAGGCCAGAAGAGGGCGCCAGACCTCTTTACAGATGGTTGTGAGCCACCATGTGGTTGCTGGGAATTGAACTCAGGACCTTTGGAAGAGCAGGCAATGCTCTTAACCACTGAGCCATCTCTCCAGCTCCCAGGTTTATGTATTTTATTGAAGAAAGTTACATATACTAGTGGTAAAAAAAAAGATAGCTTGTTACTTTTAATACATAATTTAAGAAAATAGAAAACATGTAGGAAGCATACTTGCTATTATTTTCTATGTTTCTCAGGAGTTACATTTAGGTTTAATGAACAGTGAATTTATTGGCCCATTGCATTATTGTTAGCAAATGGCATTAACAGTTTATTCCCTATTCTGGTGATATTTCAGGTGGCCTTATGGGGCCTGTCAGGATGATCTCATCTGGACATGAATTAACAACAGACTATGATGAAAAAGCACTTCATGAGCTTGGTTTTAAAGATATGCAGGTACATACATAAGTTGTGGTTTAGTTTTAGTCATGGGTTGGTTCAGCAAGTTAATAACTGAATAGTTGGAAAATATAGTTAAATACTTCTTACAACTATGCATTGAAATTATAAGTAAAGTTAGGTTGTACTTTAATTTTATTGTTTTATAAATAAAAAATCTTTTTTTTTCCTTATTTCTCTAATTGTTTTCTGTCTATCTTTCTTTTTTGTGTTCGTAGATGGTATTTGTATCTTTGGGTGCACCAAGGAGAGAACGTAAAGGGGAAGGTGTTCAGCTGCCTGCATCTTGCCTCCCACCCCCTCAAAAGGACAACATTCCGATGCTTTTGCTGTTACAAGAACCTCATTTAACTACTCTCTTTGATTTATTAGAAATGCTTGCTTCATTTAAACCACCCTCAGGAAAAGTGGCGGTGGATGACAGTGAGGTAATGATCGGATTGCTTTCCCATATATTTTGTCATTTCTGCTGAAATATTAAGAAATAACTTTCTAATCTCTTAATATCAAAGCCTAGGAACCACTTTTTGTTTGTTTCCTTTGTTTTTGTTTTTATGAGACAGGTTTTTCTCTGTGTATTCCTGGCTGTCCTGGAACTCACTGTAGACCAGGCTGCCCTCATAGTCAGAGAGATCTGCCTCCCTCTGCCTTCAAAGTGCTGGGATTAAAGATGTGCACCACTATTACCCAGCCTAAGTAATTTTTGTTTGTTTGCTTTTACCATTTGTTTGTGCTTAAAATGACCTAGGCATACTGTAATAAAAGTATTCTTTACAAGGATGATGAAAATGGGAAATTTAAGGCAATTTAATAGGCAGTTTAAGCTGTCTTGTGTAAGACAGCTGGACATACCTTGTAAGTATACCAACAAGCAAATATTTTCGGATAAATTAGTTTTTAAGGATGAACTGTGCCATCCAATTAATTTTAAGGGGAACATAAGTGGGAGAAAAATCACGTGATAATTATTTGGTTTGGTATGGTTTCTGTGAGACCATCTCAAATCTAAATTAGAAGGATGGATGACAAAGAAACAGTTATGAGGATAAAAATCTCAACTTGTAGTTCTCAGTCTACAACTTATAGCTCACTCTGTACCCCTGTTTGGACCTTCTGAGTGCTCTCGTTACAGGTATATGTCACCATTTCTAACAGTTGTTTTAGTCATGTTTGCTTGTTCCTTTTTTTCTTTTTTTTATTGATATTTATTAAGCTCTACATTTTTCTCTGCTCCCCTCCCTGCCTCTTCCCTTTTCCCTTCAACCCTCCCCCAAGGTTCCCATGCTCCCAATTTACTCAGGAGATCTTGTCTTTTTCTACTTTCTACTTCCCATGTAGATTAGATCTATGTAAGTCTCTCTTGGTGCCCGCATTGTTGTCTAAGTTCTCTGGGATTGTGATTTGTAGGCTGGCTTTCTCTGCTTTATGTTTAAAAACCACCTATGAGTGAGTACATGTGATAATTGTCTTTCTCTGTCTGGGTTACCTCACTCAAAATAATGTTTTCTAGCTCCATCCATTTTCCTGCAAAATTCAAGCTGTCGTTATTTTTTTCTGCTGTGAAGTACTCCATTGTGTAAATGTACCACATCTTTCTGATCCATTTCTGATCCAATCGAGGGGCATTTAGGTTGTTTCCAGGTCCTGGCTATGGCAAACAAAGCTGCTATGAACAGAGTTGAGCGCATGTCCTTGTGGTACGATTGAGCATCCTTTGGATATATACCCCAAAGTGATATTGCTGGGTCTTTTGAGGAAGGTTGTTTCCGAATTTCCTGAGAAATCGCCACACTGACATCCAAAGAGGCTGTACCAGCTTGCATTCCCACTAGCAATGCAGAAGTGTTCCCTTTCCCCTACAACCTCTCCAGCATAAGTTGTCATCAGTGTTTTGATCTTGGCCATTCTTTCAGGTGTAAGGTGGAATCTCAGAGATGTTTTGATTTGCATTTCTCTGATGGCTAAGGATGTTGAACATTTCCTTACGTGTCTTTAAGCCATTTTAGATTCCTCTGTTGAGAGGTCTCTGTTTAGGTCTTGACTCCATTTTTTTTTATTGGATTATGTGATCTTTTGGTGTCCAATTTCTTGAGTTCTTTGTATATTTTGGAGATCAGACCTCTGTCTGATGTGGGGTTAGTAGTACACATCTTTTTTCATCCTGTAGGCTGTCCTTTTTTCTTGTTGACCGTGTCCTTTGCTTTACAGAAGCTTTTCAGTTTCAGGAGGTCCCATTTATTAATTGTTTCTCTGAGTGTCTATGCTGTTGGGGCTATATTTAGGAAGTGGTTCCCTATGCCAATGCCTTCAGGTGTAGTTCCCACTTTCTCTTCTATGAGGCTCAGTGTGGCTGGCTTTATGTTGAGGTCTTTGATCCATTTGGACTTGAGTTTTGTGCATGGTGATAGATATGCCTCTCTTTTCATTCTTCTACATGTTGATATCCAGTTATGCCAGCACCACTTGTTTTTTCCATTTGATATTTATGCTTCTTTATCAAAGATCAGATGTTGAAGGTTGTGTGGATTGATATCTGGGTTTTCTATTAGGTTTCTATTGGTCCTCCTGTCCTTATGCCAATACGAGGCTGTTTTCAGTACTGTAGCTCTGTAGTAGAGTTTGAAGTCAGGGATTGTGATACCTCCAGAAGTTCTTTTATTCTACAGGATTGTTTTGGCTATCCTGTGTGTTTTGCTTTTCCAAATGAAGTTGAGTACCATTCTTTCGAAGTCTTTGAAGAATTTTGCTGGGCATTGCGTTGAATCTGTAGATTGGTTTTGGTACGATTGCCTTGCTTGTGTTCTTTACTTGCTTGTTGGATGGTTTTAAGGCTCAGCTTTACATCTCAACCTTGTGACAATCCTTCTTAAGAATTATCAATCTTGCCTCTTAAGATAGGTATAAGCAGTTGTTTGTGCCAAGTATAACTAATGTAGAACCTGGGAGGTGATGGAAGAGTAGGCTAAAAGGATGGAGAATGGAAAAGAAGGCAGAGTAAAATAATGTAAGTCTTTTGGGTCGTGGGAGTAGTTTCCATATTACTCAATGTAAAGTAAACAATATTGAAAGATTTTAGTAGAGGCAGATGCATATATTTTAGATTTTGTTTTAAATGTAGTGTGTTTGCTTGGCAAGTGTCAGAGTTGGTAAGGTCCTTAGTCCTTAACACACTTGTTCAGGTAGGAATTGGTTGTGCTCTAGAATAGGATGGTGATGGTAGATAAAATGTGATGGAAACAAGATCACCTTTAATAGGTTTAAAGAAGAACAAAGAGATGATTTAAGCCCGGAGACATAGAAATGGCACCTGATTTCTGACTTGAGCAATTAATTTGGTCCCATTTGAAATGAAGAATGGATGTTTGTTTGAGAGATAACAGTTGAAGATGTCAAGGAAACAGTTTAAATCTGGATGTTTACCTCCTTTCTCACTCCTTGTTTTGTAGCCTAGGGTAGCCTCCCAACTCAGTACCCTACCTCTTCCTCCTGAGTGATGAGATTACAATACTCTCCACCATACCTCTCTGGAGTTTGTTTTAATTCAATGATTTTTGGTAATGACTATCCTGAGGTCTTTATTCATGTATCTAAATTCAAAAGTCACATTTTTAGATTTTCAGAAAAATAGTGGTAAAGTCATGGCCTTCTTGTTATGTAACAGTGAGTTTTTGTTTGTTTGTTTTCACTTTTTTGAGGTAGGATTTCCTTGTTTATCCCTGATGTCCTTGATCTTAGTATATAGATTGGGCTTGAGCTTCCAGAGATCTGTCTCTCACCTGTGTTGAATTCTAAGCATGTGCCCCCAAAACCTGGCTATATAAACCAGGTTTGACCTCCAATTTACAGAGATGAACTTACCTCTGTCTATAATGAGTCTTTCTCTGTTTCACCAGCCAATACTCAAATAACAACACAAAGATTTGTTATTAAACCTCATTGTTCTCATTGTTAGCTTAGGCTTGTCTCACTAGCTCTTTAACTTGTTTACCATGTGGCTTTTTGCCTTTCATCTTTATTTTCTTGTTTCCTCTCCTTTTCTCCTGGCCTCTCCCAAGTGTCTTGATTATCTCTTCCTACTTACTCTCTTGCCCTGAAGTCCTGCTTATACCTCCTGCCTAGCTATTGGCCATTCTGCTCTTTATTAAAATAACCACAGCAATATATATAGTGTACAAATATCCCAGAACATCTGCCTTCCTGAGTGCTGGTAGGCTCCTCTTTTCTACTGAACTATCTCATCAGATCAGGATTCAGCTCTAGTTAGTGACAGTGTACTCACAGATCCTGGAGAATAACTCTGGGATTGCCTTAGTTTTTTCTTCTGTCAAAAGGCCAACTTTACCATAGATTCCCAATTCTAAAACTCCCTTGTCCTCAAAATAGAGTTGCCATATTATATTTTCCTCATTTACAAACTCACCCGAGCAATGAAAATAACTAAAAACATGAAGGTGGGGCTCAGGTCATCAGGCTTGTGCAACAAGCACATTTATTTGCTAAGACATTTTACTGACTGTTGTTTAGGTTTTTGAGACTGGATCTCATATAGTCTATTCTGTTCTCACATTTGCTATGTAGCTGAAGCTGGTCTTGAACTCCTGATCCTCCTCCATAGGTTATCCCCCACCCCATATGTCCCCGGAGCAATTCCTAGATAGCCCAACTTGTCCTAAAACTAAATGTGTTCTTCTTCAGCTTCCTGGCTGTTAGGGTTATATAGGCAGCCCCCAACATCACACAAGCTTTTCCATAGCTTTTATATAATGGGTTTATGAAACACAGATAACGGTATGTTTATTGATCCTAGATAGATCCAAATCCCCACATGTACAGAAAAATCACTCCATACAAGGTTAGAAAAATTATTATGTCAATAGATCTCAAGTTCTTATTTATAGGCATAGAATATTTTTTTGATATTCCATGCAATTTTTTTTTTGTTTTTGTTTTTTGAGACTAGGTGTCTCTGTAGCTTTGGTGCCTGTCCTTGGAACTAGCCCTAGTAAACCAGCCTGGCCTTGAACTCACAGAGATCCACCTGCCTCTGCTGGAAGGTGTGCTGGAAGGTGTCTGGCTACTCCAAGCATTTTATTATCCCAGGCAATCATTGTAATTAAACAAGTAGCAGTAAAATAATAGATTTATATTCTATGGAAAATACCAGCACAGTAGGTTTTATCTTTTGCTGTAAATTTTCTTCTTAATTGGACTGAGAAGTGCTTTTAAGTTACCTTATTCAACATAAGTTCTAGCAAATAATAATAGTAAAAAGCAGGTTCTTTAAATTTCTCTGCTTTTCTTTAATCTTTGCTCACTTGTGGGTCAAAAGTTAATGTTCCAGTTTTATACTTGAATGATATTCTGAAAAGAAGAAATAGGAAGAGACTTGAAACAAATGGTTAAACTTCTACTTTCTTGATTGCAATTACCTTGAGAAATGTATTCACTGTTGAAATCTCAGACTATGTTTTTTCAAAACAGGGTTTCTCTGTAGCTTTGGAGTCTGTCCTGGAACTTGCTCTGTAGATCAGGCTGACCTCAAACTCATAGAGATCTACCTGCCTTTGCCTCTCAAGTGCTAGGATTAAAGGTGTGTGCCATCGCTGCACGGCTAAATTTCAGACTTTTACAAAAGTGAGGGTAGGAAATTTTGCCAAAACACTTGACCTGAAGTTTAAAATTTTATTTCTTCAGATCTATCTTGATAAAATGGTTGTTCTTATTTATGTAGAGTTTAAAATGTGAAGAACTTCATCTTCATGCAGAAAATCTGTCAAGGCGTGTGTGGGAGTTGCTGATGCTTCTTCCTACATGTCCAAACATGTTGATGGCATTCCAGAATATTTCAGATGAACAGGTGAGCCCACAGTCTTTCTACTTCTTTGTTCGGTGTTTGTTGTGTATATGTATGTGGAGGCCAGAGATCATGTTGGATTCCCCTGCCATTTTGCCTTCTAATTATCTTGTTAGTGAATTTGTAACTGATTAGGCTAGTTGAGTCAAATGTGTCCTCCTGTTTCTGCACTGCCAGTGGTAGTAGTACAGGCATGTGATAGATATACCCGGCTTTTTCTAAGGGTGCTTGGGATCCAAACACAGATCTTTATGCTTGTGTGGAAAGTATGTTACTAACTGAGCCATCTTACCAACCCCTCTTTTGCTAATATAAAAATGGTATCATTTAAACACTCACTTGTTTTTAAGGTACATAACATACTAAATAAAATGCAAAGGTTAGAAAAGTAGGGATTTGCCTTTTTAAAAAAGATTTTATTTTCTGCGTGAATGAGTATTTTGCCTACATGTATGTCTGTGCACCATATGTTTGCCTGGTGCCTACAGAAACTAGATGAGGGTGATAGATCCCCTGAGACTGGAGTTATGGATGGCACTGAGCTGCCATTTGGATTTCAGGAATTGAATCTGAGACTTCTGCAAGAATAATAAGTGTTCTTAACCAGTGAGCCACCTCTCCAGCTCTGCATTTGCTATTTATTGATGAGGTTTTAAAAAATTAATGTTTGTCGTTTAATCCCAGCACTCAGGAGGTAGAGCAGAGGCAGGCGGATCTCTGTTGAGTTCAAGGCCAGCCTGGTCTATAAGAGCTATCCGGGACAGGCTCCAAAACTATTGAGAAACCCTGTCTTGAAAAACAAACAAACGAAACAAAACAAAAAAACAAAAACAAACAAACAAAAAACAGATTTTCTTTCCTCTGCCAAGTGCTGAGAATCCTAAGTATGTGCATCACTATACCTGACACAAGATTTTTTTTTCAAAGCTACAAAAACAAGGCTTTTTTCTAGGGAAGATCTACTATAATGCTCACGTAATTAATTAAAAAAAAAAAACAAATGGTTTATTGTTTTGCACCACTTATTTGACTTGATATTTTTTTATATGAGTTGAGGACATCTGACATCTCAAATTACTTGATTATCAAAAAAAAATGGCTCTAGAATGTGATTAGGGATTTTTTTAGTAATAGCATTTTAAAGCTGCATGTTATGCAAACAACATTAATTTATATATTGAGACTAGAAATAGCAATGTTCTAATTTAATTCTTTTTGTATACTTATTTATCTTAACAATTTTTAATGAATAGTTTTGCTTTCAACATGCTATTAGTACCATTTCTTCTACTTCTAAAATGTTTTAAATTATACACAGTGTTGTATTTTATACTAATATTCAGTTCTGAGTTTTGGAACTTTAGAGAATTGTCTTAGGAAGGTGTCTTGATAAATCGTTTTTCTTTTTTTAATTTAAGAGCAATGATGGACTTAATTGGAAAGAACTTCTCAAAATTAAGAGTGCTCATAAGTTGTTATATGCTCTTGAAATTATTGAAGCACTAGGAAAACCCAACAGAAGAATAAGGAGAGAGTCGACGGTAATTACAGTTCCATTGTTCTCATTAAAGGCTGCTTTACTCCAGAAGAATTCTAAATCTTATTATTTCATTCTAGATTGATTTTTTTTTCTTCTGAAATCCCCTTATTTATGTTTTGCCTTCCCCACAGGGAAGTTACAGTGATCTTTATCCAGATTCCGATGATTCAAGTGAAGATCAAGTGGAAAATAGTAAAAATTCTTGGAGTTGCAAGGTTTGATCATAATTGTTTTGGAAAAGATTGAGAAAGTACTTTTTGGGTTCTATAAATCGTTATTTTAAGGTTAATTTTCAAGATTTATTTTAACTTTCTGTTTTTTGAATGTTTGCCTGCATATATGTATGTGCACCACTTGCATGCAGTGGAGACTAATTGAGGACTCTCTGGATTCCTTGAATTGGAGTTAAAGATGATTGTGAGCCTTTCTGTAGGAACCGGGGTCCTTTGCAAGAGCAGCAAGTGCTTTTATAATCATTAACCATCTTTCCAGCCTTGTGGGGGAGCTAAATGTGGGCGTGGGGTTGTGTGTGTGTGTGTGTTTCAGAGAGAGAGAGGAATGAGAATGAATAAATAAGCCAAAGGACATCTTGTAGTGTTATCCTCACCCCTCCTTTGAGACATGGTCTCTCATTAGTTTAGAGCTCATCAGTTAAGCTGGACTGATGGACCAGAAAGCCCTAGGTATCCTTTTGTCTCTGCCTTCCCAGTGCTGGCGCTGTAAGCACTGCACCATGTTTTTAGGTGGGTTCCACAAATTGGATTTAGTCCTGTGCTTTCAAAGCAAGAATTTTCAGGTCTGAGCTATCTTTGTTTTTAGCCCTGCCTAATTTAGTCTTTACATTGTAGATAAAATTTTACTCTAGATCATAATGTAAAGATTGATTATTTAATGCTTTGTTTCTTCTAATTTTAGCACCAGTGTTTATCCCATTTCACTGTCATCATTGTATCCCATTCCTCCAACACATATTGGAATACTGTATCAGGACAGCCTAGTATCTGGGCTTAAATGATTTACTGAAATAGTAAAGTCATTCTTATATACTTTTAATAAGACTTTTTACAAATTTTTAAAACATTCTATATAGAAATTATTTTTATCTGGGTGTAGGTGGTGCATGTCTTTAATCCTAGCCCTTGGGAGGCAGAGGTAGGTGGATTTCTGAGTTAGAAGCCATCTTGATTTACAGTGAGTTCTGGGGCCAGGGCTACACTGAGAAACTTGGTCCCAACCCTTCCCCAAATTTATTTTTTATTATTTGTAGACATTGATTTCTATAAAGCACACATTTTCACAAATGCTTTCTAAGTCAACAGAGCAGATTGTCATTCTGTGCAGCTGATATTCCTTATCACCACCCTCACAATTGTTTACAGTTTGTTGCTGCTGGCGGGCTTCAACAGTTACTGGAAATATTTAATTCTGCAATTCTAGAGCCAAAAGAGCAGGAATCATGGACTGTGGTAAGTAAAGACTTTTTTCAGCTAATTATATTTTATTATCTTCTTTCAGTCACTTTTGTTTTATTGGCTAAGTAACTTACTATATACTTGATAAAATAAGGTTAAGACATAGTAGAAAATAAAAGATTTGATAGATTGATAATGGATTAAAATTATATAACCAAATGAAGCAAAGAGGGAGTGTTATTTTTGGTTTGAGAGGATGGATTAGTGACTTAGAGCATTTGCCATGAAAGCATGATGAATTATTCAATCACTGGCATCAAGGGGTGAAAGAAAAATGACCTCCACAAAGTTGTTTTCTGATCTTTACACGTGATTGCTCACATCTAATCTCTACCTACACACAGGCACACACCCGTAATAAAAAGACAGCTATGTAATTTTTCAGTTTTTCGTTTTTTACCTTTCTTGAGATGAGGTTTCTTTGTGTAGTCTTGGTTGTCTAGAACTGCTCCCTTAGGCCAGGATGGCCTTGAACTCGGAGATCACCTGCCCCTGCTGAGTGCTGGGATTAAAGACACAGCATCATCACCTATCCAGCTATATTTTTAATAGCTTGAAATGAATAGTACTAAATTTAATTACTCAGAAGTAATAACAAGTTCACAAGAAGTTGTTTCTCTCTTAGGTTTTTAAATCATTTAATATTACTCACATGGTTTTAATGTTTTCCTGCTCTCTTTGGGGTTGTAGTAGTTTGTCTTTTAAATCATGGTTTCTCTATGTGCCCCAGACTGTAACTTACCTGATGCTGTTCTCAGATTCCTGCCTTGGATTCCTGAGTGCTCAGATTATAGGTTTGTGGTACCATGGCAACAGTTGTTTGCTTTTGAAAAATGATTCAGTTCAGGATGGTGGTGCATACCAGCACTTGGGAGGCAGACGCTGTCAGATCTTTGAGTTCAAGGCTAGCCTGTTCCATAGAGCACGTTCCAGGACTTGCAGGTCTACACAGAGATACCCTGTTTAAAAAAATAAAACAAAAATGATTAATCAGAGACTGGAGAGAGATGGCTCAGGGTTGAAGATCACTGTCTGCCCTCCCAAAGGACTCGGACTCAGACTCAGTTCTCAGCACCCTCATGGCAGCTCACAACTGTTTGTAACTCCAGTTCTCACACAGACAAAATGCAAAACCATATAAACTAAATTATTTTTTAAAAATAATTTATTCATATATATGTGCTTATTTGTTGTAATGGAGATAAATCTATGCTCTTTTGCATGTACAAGAAGTCTTTTACTACTTACTTTTGTCTGTAGTAAATGGTCTCATTGTTTCAAAATTGTTAGCTTTTGTTTTGACCAATTTTGTCTTAGCAACAGAACAGAAAAAGTGTTTCTAGACCACATTGACTATCTTCCATGAGATCAAGAAACTGAGAATAATAAACCTTTCCATTTTTATAATAATTAGAAAGTTTTTCAGTTTTTGTAATATTTCACCCAAGTATTGGCCTTCATTTAAAAAAAAATCTTTGGAGAAAAAAAAGACCATATTAACTTACCACCATTAATTTAAAGAAATATTGCTTTAATATTAGCAATAGAAAGTTGCAATGTTCACAACTTTAATTTTATGCAGTAATGCTCTTCAATCTTTTTAATTAAATATAAAGCAGATCATTTTTATTGGGAGTTCAAATGAAGTGTTAACTTGTTTGCAACAAATCAGCACCAGTTATCTGATGATATTTTGTTCTACTTTGTGCAGTTGATTCTTTCCCTGCACTTCTTTAGGCTCTAGTGACTGGCAACAAATTCAGGTTACCAGGTTTTCACAATAAGTGTTTTTATTCATGTGCTACTTCACTGGCTCCTTTGCTTTTCTTTTAAACTTTGTGTTTCAAATTTAAAAAGTAGTAAACTTTAAAAATAATAAAATTTCATTTTCCCAGTGTTAATGATATCTTGAGCATCTCTTTGTGTGGTCTTTTGTGACTCTGTGTGTGTGTGTGTGTGTGTGTGTGTGTGTGTGTGTGTGTAGGTGTATAGTCAGTGCTTGTGGTATTGCATTTGAGTTAGCTTCTGCATGGAAAAGATAAGGTTGAATTGGTTTATTTATTGATATAAATATCTAATTTTTTAACACCATTTGTTGAAACTAATTTTATTTTTTAATTTGAATTATATTGATGACATTTTGTAGTAGCATGGTATTGTTATTACTCAGGGAAGGATACTTTTTTTTACTGGTAGATAGATGTAAGTGTACCCATTGCAACCAGGAGACTATGTGGCCAAGGATTTATTATAGTGAAATTTCTGAAATTCTTCTGCTGAATATAAGTGATGTTCCAATTAGCTTGTTCAAAGAAAGTTTCTTGTTGCTATTAGATCTTAAAATTCATTGTAAATTTTATGTTTTATACTAATTATTCTACTCAATAAATATATTAAATCCATATGTGATAAATGTAAGATTTTCAGTTGAAGTATCCTTCAGAGTAGTGGGGAATCCCTATGGTCTGAAAATATTAATCCTGGTCTACATAGTTAGTTCAGGTTGGCCATATCTACATAGTGAGACTGTTGTTTCCTGTTGTTATTTTGAAATGCCTTTTTCCTGGCCTGGAACTCACTATGTAGATCAAGCTCTAGCCTTCAACTCAGAGATGTACCTGCCTCTGCCTTCTAGGTGTAGGGATTAAAGGTGTGCACAGCCATGCCTGGCCCTTTGTTAGTATTTCTAATAGTTTTGAAAAGTGCAGTCTTTGCAGCTTATTTTTCCAGAAATCCTGTGAATATCTATTGACTACATTTTATAATAATTTCCTGGAAAACAAATGTGTCATTTCTAATTTATTATATATATTCTGTTAAAATTTATATTCAAAAAAGAAAATTAAAGTATTACTAGCCATAGCTTTTGAATGCAAAACTTTCTGTAGTGATCACTGTAATTGAGTCCATGGCAAGTGTCTAGAACCTGGAGTGAAAATTGGCTGCAAATCAAAATGCAATGGATTAGCAATTCTTGCCTTGTGAATGTATGTAGGAATTAGCTGCCTATGATCAGAAGACTGTTGGAGTACTATATGTTCTTTTATCACTCTTTGTTCCTTTTGTTGTTGTTGTTTGTTGGAGTTTTGTTTTGTTGTTGAGACAGGGTTTTTTTTGTGTAACCTTGGCTGTCATATAACTAGTTTGGTAGACCAGACTCTTTTGAGGTCTCTTTCAGGATTTATTCTTGTAGGATTGAAACTAAAGTATACCCATGGGGTATGCTCAGCTGAAAGCTCAATTAACTTATGAACCATTGGATTCAGATACTAATGCCCATTTGCCAATATTATGCTATATACAAAAGAATAATTTTCTTTCTGGTGTGTCATATATGGTTTACCCCTCTTAATTAAGCAAAGGCTTTGAGTTATAAATTCTAGAGAAATGGTTGAAGAAACCTCTTGGTAATTGAAATAATTCCTATGAAAATTTCATTTTAAATGCAGAAATTCCTTTGCCATTCACATTTATGAACTCAGTGGGAAGAAGTTTATTGTGAGAGTTTAATTTAGTAATGGAGCATTTTTTAAAGTTGCATAATTTTTAAAAGTCATATAGCACATTGCTTAAAAACTAGCCAATTCTTTTTGTCTTTTTATTTCAAAGTTGTATAGTGATCATACTTATCACATGAATGAAAATAGAGAGCTGACATTGTTTTCTCCTTCACAGTGGCAGCTAGATTGTCTTGCTTGCTTGCTGAAATTAATCTGCCAGTTTGCAGTAGATCCATCTGATTTGGATTTAGCTTATCACGATGTCTTTGCATGGTCTGGCATAGCTGAAAGTCACAGGAAAAGAACCTGGCCTGGAAAATCAAGAAAAGCTACTGGTGATCATGCCAAGAGTCTTCATATACCACGATTAACAGAGGTAATACTCAGAAATCAAAATTAAATTGTCCTAATGAATTCTACTTAAGTTTTAAGAAAGCATATGGTTTAGTTTTTACAAAGAAATATACTAACACATAAATACTATTCTAGATTTTTATACTACTACCTAGCAACTACAGCAGTGTTAAAATTTGTCGTGATGTATTGGTAATAATTTTCAGTTTTTCATTTAACAGGAATGCATGATGTGTTATTTTAATAAGTTGTCTAATCTTCCACTTAACATGTGTTACTAGAACTTTGTAACTTACATTCGAAGTGTACCAGAGTCCATTCAGAAAAATAAGGAAATCATACTAGGTATTTCAGCACTGGAAATATAATAAAAAGATGGATTTCACAACATATGTGTTTCAACATATATGTTGAAGTGCTAAAAAAAAAAATCAAAGAGTGCTGAAGAAATTTAGGTAAAGGGGCTGGAGAGATGTCTCAGTGGTTAAGAGCACTGCCTGCTCTTCCAAAGGTCCTGAGTTCAATTCCCAGCAACCACATGGTGGCTCACAACCATCTGTAAAGAGGTCTGGTGCCCTCTTCTGGCCCGCAGACATACATACAGATAGACTTTTGTATACATAATAAGTAAATAAATAAAAGAAATTTAGGTAAAGATCTGTTCACCTCTCCTAGAGCTGGATGTAGATCATTTTTGAGTTATTAGAGTCAGAAACTTACCAAAGAAAACCTGTTGAAGTGGATTTAGGCTTCTGAAAAATGGGGTTTTGCTCAACTATTTCTTGATTCTCAGAGGATACCAAATAAAAGCTAGTAAAAGGACTCCTTTAGGTAGTTGGAAGACTGGAGCTGTTGAGTTGGCTCAGTAGTCAAAAACACTTCTCTTTAGGAAGACTTTAATTTGGTTCAGTACCCCGACCACACAGCTCACAACTGGCTCCAGGGAGAGCTAGTCCACTTCTGTGCCTTTTTTGTGTTCCTGCATACATGTGATGTGTGTGTGCACGTGC